TCATATAAGAAATATAATTTATTGAAAAATTTAAATTACTATCATTCGAATTACAAATTATTAAATTATAATAACGGATGCAAGAAACTTTAATTTTGTTATTACGAGAAAATGCGAAAGAGAAGGATGAGAAATGCGACGAGGCTTAAAAATAGGAGACTGACAAGTGACACTTCGTAAGAAGCACGGAGCGAATAAATATTACTCTCTTATCTTCATCGCTTTGTCCTTTACCTTCGCGTATGACTGATGGACTCGAATCACGCTCCGCAAATTTATCAGGGACAACGAAGGAGAACGGCTCGATGGGGAAGGGAAAAGGGGGAGGGGGACCGTGACGAGGAACACGTGAGACGAACAGGCGATAAAAGAATGAGACAATTGCGAGGAAGTGCAACGGGCGTACAATGGAAAAGTGGGGAGGGTGGGTACTTTTTAATTTTCGCGACTCACGAAATGCATCCTGCGTCGCACGTGTCCCGGAGCGCGATTCGAAGAGCCGGTCACATGCGTCTTTGCATCGCAGATCGTTGCCTCTTCGGCGAATTGCCCTTCGCGGAATCGATTTCCGCTCGCGCGCGCGTTTGCCCGCTACAAAACTCGTCTGATTATTACCGAGTATTCGCGAAATAATGACGGTGGCCGGGGACGACCGTTGCGTTAATAATCGTGATTGTTGGACCGACATCGAAATTGCGGCCGCTGCGTAAAGCCGCGTTCGTAACAAATCGATGAACGCGAACGTTCAAAAATAAATATCAAAATAAACGTGGAATTAATTATTAAAAAATTTTGCATTTTATTTAAAGAATTTTTTAAAAAACTTTGTACATTAAAAAAACTTATTTGAATCGATCTTCAATATTGTCATGATATCGATTTTATAAATATTGAATATTCTACTTATCGAAGGTATTTAAAAATATACTGAATAGTCAACGATAATTTAATTTCCAACCAATTGGGACAAGTCGAATAGTTATTAGAAATGCATGCCTAATATCGTTCGCGTCGTAACCGTGCGGTTGACGTAACATTATTGCGGCATATATTTTCTTTTTTTTTTTAATAGCATTTCGATTGCGCGATACCAGGCGGGATAACGCGCCTGGTAATATTGTCGGCATGTTAAAATCGCCGATAGATAATGACGCCTTTTATTAATCAGCTATTAAACGCAATGCGCCGCGAATCCGACAGATCGACCTTTCTGTTCGCCCCTCGATCGATCGACGGTGCATCGCGTTACGTGTAACCTTTCGACTGGTACGCGCGCTTTGTATAATCCCTCTCGAAACGTATAATATATTCGACATCGCAAGTCAGGCATGAGCCGAATACACAGTGAATCCGCGGCTTTTGTTTGAAGCGTTTACTGTGTAAATTATCCGTTTCTGTTTACAGAGTAAGAGTATGAATTTATGATGTTAATTTTATCCTACTAATTCTAGCGAACGATATCTATATTTAAACGATTAATCGTATCTAATATATCTATATTTAGACGATTAATCGTAGACTTTGTCAAATGAATGAAAAGATTTCCGTTTAATCTTTGGCTATTTCAATATTTCAATTTTTTTGTTACGTTATCACATCATCATTTATTAGAATTAATATTAAATTTATTAAAATTACAATTTAATTTATAATTTCACGATATGAAATTATTAATTACGCAAGATTGATTCTCAATGTAAATAGCAGCTGAGCGGAATTCTTAAGAGAACATCAATTATCAATTGCCTAAATGTCAAGATACATTACGTCTTTTCGAAATGAGGAATCACGATAGATCTGCGAAACGACGTAGTTACAACCGTGTGCTCGCTGTTTCATTGTCCCGGAAAAATATGTAAAAGAGTAGCGCGATAAAAAGAGCGTCCGATTGTCGCACACACGCATATGTATACGCATATGCACGCGCGCAAAGAAGCGGCCGAGGTGCATTTTACGTATTTCGTGTATGTCGTATGTACGCGATGCTGTGCAGCGCTTCGGCGGCCTTGAGAGAGGTTCTTTGTGCGTTCACTGCGCGCGTATATACACCTACACAGTCAAAATCGGCTCGCGCCGTTACATGCATACACTGTAACAAGTTGCGTTGCGCTTATGTACAAAGGGCGCTCCGTGTGACTCACATGCTCGCATATGCTACCGTCTCCGTCTCCCTCGCTCCTTCTTCCAGTGTTGATCTTTCTTTTCTTCTCTCCCTCCGTCCTATTCCATTTATCCACTTCTCTCTCCCTTCTCATTCCTATCATATATATACATGTGTGTGCGTATGCGTGGATATATGTATATCGCGTTTCTTTCTATTTTCTGCGTTTCTTCTCTCTCTCTCTCTCTTTGTCGGTCAACGTCTCTATCCTTGGAGCGTGCACATAAGCTCGAACCAGATATACGCGCCAAAGTGTGCACACATGAGACCGTGAAGAGTTGCATGCGGGTGTCGGCCACGTGCGCGCTGCACTTTTTGCTCGCGGGGCAACCTTCGGCTTTTATGCGTCGCGCGCGCCAGCGCTGGAACTTTACGCCCTTTTCGGCGATTTGCCACGACGAGCTTTTCGATGCGCGTCGTTGAACAAAGGTGATACGAGAAAAATGTTTTTTGTGGAAATGCCTCGAGTTTTTTTTTTTTTTGATAAACGATGCTGTCGGCCAGAAATGTATGTACTAATTCGACTCGTTCTCTAAGGTCTCTCGTGTGATATATTTTATTAGATTTCTACTAGGTCTTATTATATTTATATGTCACCCAATTGTCTTAGGATAATCTATCTTATTGCATTATTGCATTATTGTTGTAATTTATTTGATAAATAATTATAATTGACATTTGTATGTCTCTCTTTTCGATTATTTCTTGCAAGACGCATCTCTCTCTGTACGTTGTTTTTTCTAGATTTATAATTTTTGGTGTTTGCGTATTAGTCAACTAAATTAATTAGAAATCAATTTCCAAAGAGATATCGCGTCTCGCGGCTGAATTACGGATAACTATCGCTTATCTCTCCATCGGAGGCCACACATCAAGTAATAATAAATAACGAGTTCGATTATTATAAATCTCTGTGCAAAGGTTCCAGGCATTCTCACGCGGGCCACGTCGAGTGACATTTGGCTGGAAAAACAAGTAGAAAGCAACGGGGCGTCGATGCCACGTATGTTTCGCAAGCAACGAAAAGCACGGCCGGTCGCATCTTTCTCTCTCTCTCTCTCTCTCTCTCTCTCTCTCTCTCTCTCTCTCTCTCTCTCTCTCTCTCTCTCTCTCTCTCTCTCTCTCTCTCTCTCTTTCTCCTTCTATCGCGGATGCTGCGGCACTCTCGACGAGCTATCGAAGATCCCGCGACGGCGAACGGCGGAGGCCGTAATCGAGTGTAGGTGACGACAATGTGTGCGTCGTTGCACAAGTGAAAGAGCCCCGGGGCCTCTACTCGAAATGTCAAGGATGCAACCATGTGCGCGGTTACTCGCGAGAGAAGGCGAGGGAGGAGGGAGAGAAAAGAGGGATGCGTAGAGTCCGCGAGACAATGGGCGGCCGGGAGGCACCGTAGGATTGTTATTTTGTCACGCATGGGGCTCCCCGGCCGTGTATTCGCGTATCCATCCATCGCGCGAAAATGAAAAGTGGCCGTGTCTAAATGTTTCTAGAGCCTAACAGTACGGTGAGCAACGCGTTGTAGATTCTGCTTTCACCGCGGATTCGTCGGACGGTCTTTCAAGGTTGCAATCACAAGAGCAGAGGAGCGTGATGACATCGCGCGATTCTGTTTCGTAACGCACGACAAGTGTTTTCTCGATGCTCCGTTATCCGTAGGGAAGGAATGACGTCATCGGTTCGCGCTGCTGTATCTTACATGCAATCTTATCCGATACTGATTATACGAGATGAGGAAATATTTATTTATAAAAACTAACTATTTCTGTGATAAGTAAACAGTATTAGAATCCTTTTATTCTCCAACTCGAGAAAACAACGCAGTCGTTGGTAAATAAAACTGCGTTAGTCGATGACGCGATAACAAGAAGAAGAATAGAATCTCGACTGGCAAATAAGTGACGACATAAGTATGCGATGGAAAGCGTGTTACTCTCGGTGGCAGAAGTCGAGACTTTATCGATGAGCACTGTTCTACGAAATCATAGTTGTGAGAGATAAAATGGCACGTACATATATACATATCTAGACACGAGACAGGCAGTCTGCCGCGAAACATGATAACGCACGTTTCTCAAGCATAGATAGTGACATGTGTTTGTCGAACTCGCAAAACAGAATCATTCCGTTTAAAGCCTCTCGCTAGGTTGACAGTTGTTGTATCATCGAAAAAATGCGCTCGGGAATTTAAAAGTGCTTTATGCCAGGGAAATTAAACATTAATATATACACGATTGCGCTGTTTATTGTATTTTTACCCTGCATAAAAATAATTGCTTGCGCGAAATTAGAGAGCACGATTGTATATTTCTTATATTTTTACCTAGATAAAATCGTGTGCATATGTGACTCAGGAGATTCTCTCTCGTAACATGCGGCAAATGTCGAAACTGCGAGGAAAAGGTTGTCCCGCGAATCACCCGTTAGAAATTTTAAAGCTATCATTACTCAACAATGTTGTTCTCGCCATACACGGACTGCACGTTTACCTTGCAGCGAGCACTTTGTGTATTAAAACCTTATAAGCGAAGTAATTGTCTCATACTCCAGTCACCGGAATGGAAAGTCACCATTGTGTGACGTAATTTACGTGTAATCAATCGTCGTTATATGAGCGTGGCGACACGAATACCCGGTGCTCGTACGTTCGTTTCCCGACGCGTTCAGGGAGTTGTAAAACGCGATCATTATTAATTTACATATCACGCGACTGCTCGTTAAACACACGCGTAAAGGGAATCTCGAGTCGAGATGACGAATTCCTTCGCCACAATCTTTGTCTGTTCACATTGTAAATTAAATATGAATCTTAAAGAAATGCTCATTTTTTTTTTTCTAGATCGAGCACGTCGACCCGGCGGTCGCGAGGCCCAGCAGCCTCTGGTGATTTTTCTACAACCCGGCAACGCCGAAGATCTATCGAATCTGCCATTGCCGGATCTGGTGCAATCGGCCCTAGATCAGCTGCCACCGCCGTCGCCCCAGGTGACGGTATCCGTCCCCAACAGCCCGATGAGAGACGCGACCTTCCAGTTCCCCGAGTGCACAAACGGCGGCGGTGCGCCGCCGCCGAGCCCAAGGCCACGGCCGCGAAGACGCTTCGCCTCGGAGAGCTCCATCATGGAAACGGGCCCGATCGAGGTGAGCAACTGCAACAACGGGAACACCTGCTGCTGCCTGATCCTCAACGAGAGGCAGTCGTGGACGAGCGTGGGTGCCAATCTCAGGAACATCGCCGGCGACTTTCATGCATGCAGGACCAAGGTCAGTGTTGTTACGCAATCGCGATTAAATCGCGGGGAAAGAATGCAGATTGCGGATCTCAATGCGGAATAACGTTTCGAATACATGGAGATCCTTGCGTTCTTTCCCCGCGATTCGATAACGCTTGACACTTCATATTGGATGTGGAAAACGTTTATCAAATTTTTTACATACAATTTTTACAGCTTACGAAATTAGATTTATTTTCCACCGGTTGGTCGGTAATTTTTCGAACACTGCTGACGTTGTCATCGTCGTTTTCTATTCTATTCGCCGCTGATGGTATAATATAGGAGCAGTTTACGGTGAGAGGAGTACAGGTGTAAAATGCCTCGTATAAAAATTGTACGGCACCCGTTTCCGCGCACGCACGGGAGCCATCGTGTAACTTTTCACTCCACGCGTCGCAATTTCATCTTCCCCATGAAGGGCTTTTATTCGTCATAAAGCCACCCTCGCGTCGCGGGTATTATAAAACGTAACGAATATGCGCAACGAGAGGTCCTCCGGCGGGTGTTTAGTTTAAAATTTCGCTCACCCTCGAATCTCCTATTAAATTCCTATCGTTTAATTTACAAATTTTATCACCGGTTTTATAAACGTATATATATATATATATATATATATATATATATATATATATATATATATCTTTTATATATTTCTACATAATACATTTTATTCATGAATTTTTCACAGAAAAATGAAACGTGACGGGCTCCAAAATATCTTTAGCTTAACATAATTAAAATTGACATTTCCCTTATATAAGATTCAGCTTATTATTTCAATGCATTCACAGACACTATTTGTCTCGTTTAATTGGTCTATATTTGTTTCAACGACATCGTGAACTGAAAACGAATTAGATAAGATTCAGATCCTTCTGATATTCCAAGATTTAATAGTGTCGCGAATGATTCAGGACTTCAGGTTTTATTCCGAAATTTCCAGGCATTCCATTACGATAGATTCGTGGTGTTAGGTGTGTTTATTTCTTTAAGAAAGATAGAAACTATCGTTGAATGGGGTCCATAAACGCGAATTTAGTTATATCAGAGTATCCCGACGACGTATATATGTGTGTATGTATGTGTATGCGTGTCCCGTGGGTGCAATAAATATCGGTTTCACCATCGTCGAGACGTCTAATATTGCCCCCCGTGAGTACGTGCCCCGTGCCATCGGCACTTCATCAAAACTCCCGCCCCCCCCTCCACCCCTCCTGACGATCACGGCTCGGTCGTTCGATCAAATATGTATCGCCGACCGGTATGGTTCTTCCGCGGGATTTTACGACGGTTCTCCTCTCTCGTTCGCAGTCGGAAGAAAGGAAGCAGCGATTGTTGTGTGCGTTGGCGAACGGGCGGATAAGAGAGATGAATCGGGAGATATTTGATACGTGTACTAGAGGCACGTAATGTCATCATCCGCGAGATTAACGCAGCGTGGTTGAAACGGTGTCTACGATATTATCTTGATGGATCGATATCCTTGCGCATTGGTAGCTCGAGAGAGAGGTAGCTTAGACAGAGAGACATGTACGGAGATATGCGGGGCTAGACACCTTGCTAGAAAGAAACGGCAAACGTTTTTCGTGCTGCGGAAAATTAATTGTATAAACACTGCTTTGCTAAAGATGCCAAGAAACACACGTAAAGATCGCAATTCTTGCTTAATGAAAATTTGAATTTCAAACGTTCTTTAACACATTCTACTCGATTATGAATGCAATCTCCTGTTGCCTACTAACCGAGTATATTACGCGATGTTCACGATACCGACAATTCATTCGGCTCATCATTTTTACAGACTGCGCGAAAGAATTATTGAGCTCAATTATTGCGGAAAGTTTCTGATTAATGCTTTGACAGAATTACGAGATATCCATCCCATCGCCATTAAGGATGTTTTGTATGTACAATCCCAGCAAAAAGTAGCTGAAAATTAATATTGACGAATATCCACTTTTGATGTATTTTGAGTATAAGAAATTGTGTGGAATATTCCAATTTGATCTTAGCTACAGTACAGAGATGTATTTTTTAATATTTATTACGTTTTTATTGAAATATTCCGAATTTTGTTAATCGAAATGATTAACTTTTGGCAGAAAATTTCACCTTGTGACAGATACATGGCCAACTTTATTAAATTATATTTAATATCTTTTTAACCAGTTAATACTTGTATAATATTATTTGACCAAATATTTCCTCTGTATCTAAACTTTTGCAAATTTTAAACAAATTCTGAATATTATTTCCATGTGTTTTTGTCATTTAAATCGACGTGGTTATACGTTTCCCATAAGAATACATGTTAATTCGGTGCAAATTAAAATCCTTATAACTTGTGAACGCTTTAGTGAATCGATTTAAAAATTGTACCGAAGATTCTAAACATATGTAAGGACATTCTGTACAATTTTCATTAAATTCTCAATATTTTGAAAAGGTACAAAACATCCTTAAGAGACTGCGGAGAGTCGTTCAAATATGTATCGATGAGCGAGACAATTCTCTCCGGCTTTACGACGACTCTTGTTTGCCGTTGCGGATTGGAAGAAATTGAATGGCGGGAGGATGAGACATTAATAGAGAAGGAAAGACGTAGAGGAAGAAAAAGAAGTGAAGGGAGTAGGATCGTAAACGCGAAATAGAAAGGGTGTTCCTCTTTTATTCCGCCTCCGCTTTTATCCGCTTTAAAGGTCTGTCGGCGTGATACCCAATCCCGGAACGTCTAATTATTGCTGGTTAAGTGCCGGTAATTGAAGGGAGCGAACAGACCCGTGAAATTGAAGAAATCTTTCCTCCTCGCCCGTCTGTAGAGGAGATCGGATACCTATCGGTTCCTCGGTAACTCGAGCAGCGTCTTGTTGATAATTCGAATCGCCGAGAATCCTCAGAATCGTCCTACTCTCTTGTTTGTGCGCGCCCGAAGAAATTGAAATGTCAGATTAATTACCGCTGGCAACAGATTCATATATCGGTGAACGCGTAGCCTTGTGCGCCTTACGTCTTTTATTGCTTTATAAAAGTTGAAATTAAGTCATTTTGTCATTTAATAAAATCAATATCTCGAAATATAAATAATCAACGTCGAATTAAATCGTGTCAAATACAAATTTGTCGCAACTGCTTGTAACATTTTCGCATTGACGATTTCCTCGCATGACGGAACGTGGGACATACGTCGTTCTCGCTCCATTTCTGTCGCTGTAAATTCATAAGTGACTGTCAAATGTATTATCGCGTAAGCACGTAGCGGTCGAAGCTCGCCATCGGATCGCGGCTAAAAGCTTTTCGCGGCCTAAACTTCCGGCAATACGTCATAAGTCATGGAGATCCTCTCGTATGTTCCCTTCCCGCGCCCCTTCTCCTCGCGTCTACCCATCACGGGAAACCACCGACGGCGCTTTACATATGCATGGAGAGTAAGCGAGCATGTAAACGGCTAAGTGGCCACATCCCCTTACGTGAAAGTTAAGTGGGCATGGCAGCACGAGCCGTGGCCACAGGCCGAGAAAATTATCTTCAATTATCTCGTGCAATCGGAATCCTCCTCCTCCCCTCGCCCCGCTTGTTTGCTCCTACTCCGATCTCGCTCTTTCGATTAGCCTTTCGACTGATCGTCGCTTCTGCACTCGCTCCGTAATGGGATAGTCGTACGCATTTTCGTTGACCTCCGCGTAGAGAGGGTTTGCACCTGGTGCACTCGCTGCTTTTTATGTAATATACGGGATTATGAGCGAGCGGGCGCGCGTGTAACGCGCCGTAAAACGCGAGATATAGCGCTCCGACGTGTCAGAAACGGGGAAATAGCCGGCTCTCCTCGTATCGCTCGGGAAATTGAAGCCAGGCAATTTCCCCCGCGAGGGAATATCGATACCGCGCGTTTCGAGAGACTCATTACTCGCTGAATACGCTGAATCCTCGCGTGCATCGAGAGTCTATCTAAAAACTTGCCAAACAATCCGATCCGATTTATCTTCGGGGGGGGAAAATCCTCCGTTTCCACGAAAGCGAAACAACGCCGACAGCGAAACAGCGCGTTGACATTTATCTAGTAGTTCAAACGATCTGACCGACGCGCAAATTGATGCATTAGCGTACCCTCCTCACGGTGAGATAACGGATCTTTCGCGATGGCGCAACCCGAGGAGAGGGAGATAGGGGAAGGAGGGCAGAGAGGGGTTCGGCGCAAGAAAGTCGTCGATATTTCTTCGGTCGTTTCTTCACCGCACGCAAACCGCTCGACTCTCGCTTACGTCTTATTTTCACCTTCGCCGGCGTATCCTACGATCCTACCCACTCTCGGCGACGCCACTCTTGCTTACGCGGCCGCGCTACTGCGCGTAATCTGCGCGCAAATTTATGACGCTTTGTCACGCTGCGCAAACTTCCCGCTCGCCCGCTCGTTGCCGCTTTATTGAAAACTTGAGAGAAAATGATCGTATATACCGCGCCTGTTCGATTTCGCCTGCCGGCGCCGTTTAGCCGATAATTTATATAATGCTTCATGCATCTAACGATACATGTAATAATAATAATAATAATATTCTCCGCTTGAGATAAGCGACCGTCTCGCGAAAAATAGTGAAAGTCGCGAATAATTTCTGCAATACGACGATAATCAGCATCCAGACGCGGTTTATATTATATTTGTAGACGGAAATCGCGCAATCGTAAGAATCGATGCTGATCGACATTTAATTAATATCGATCAATATATAACATGTCGACTGATAATAATGGGAAATTTCTTTCCATTTAATTTTTAAAAATGAATCTTGCGAGGAATAAGATAACGACATGCGATATGCATTCTTGTTTACGTTTTTACTTGGAGATGGTACTTTTGTTACCGCCGATCATTCGGTGTCGGTAGACGCAGCTCGTTTCATCGGTCGTTTCATTGCGCGTTACCGAACGAGTGCCAACCGCAACTTCTGTTTTCCATCAGCTTTTTCTTACTTAGCCTCCGCGGCAAAACATTGGAGCCGGGCGATTGGCCGTTTCCACGGCAAACCACGCAATTACGTTGCACAATAATCCATCTTACCAGTAGTAGTCGCGCGTGGCTGTAAAGGCCTCTCTATCGCCCCGCGTCTCTGAAAAGGAAGACGGAGAGAGAGAGAGAGAGACGAACGCTCAACGTCGCCCTCCTTCTCTCTCCATCTTGCAAAAGTCGCTCGTGCGTAATCGTTTTTTGGCATCCTTTTCCGCGATCGAATTCGAATCGTAAATCGGCGCGAGCGCGATTTTTACCTCGATGATTTATCTCACCGCACGCAAATTGATTTACTTTGAGAGACATATAATGGGAAACGAGCGACTTCTTATTTCGTTACAATGACTTGCTATTTTTTTATTTATTAATACGACAAGTGAACCGAGATAGCCCCTTTACAAGCGTGAGAAGGCGATATAAGTATTGATTCTCCTTTCGCAATGCACTTTTGAAGAATTAGTTGCGGTTGGTAGCGCAATCACCGGGAAATTTACATTTTACGATTCATCCGTCGTAAAGCAACGAGCGCGCTGCATCTTTTCTAATAGTTTACTTTCCAATCCATGATGCTTTTTTGTTATATTTTTAATTGTACTATTTTACTGCCGTATATAATTGTGTGTGTCCTTGTTTTTTCCTCTCTTCAAATCCACAGGATTACCTCACCTATCGTGACGACGCATTTTTCTCTTTTTCCATTTTCCTTCCATTCTCCACCCTTAAACGCACATTGAATATTTCAGTTTCTGACAATTATTTAATATGTGTTTTCTATTTAATATTTCTTTTAAAATGATAAAAATTTCTTATTTATCTCTTGCATTATACACTTTATAAATATAAACAATACATATATCTGTCACACATTTCATTTTCTGTAAACCAATTTTGACTATAAAAAATGTTGACTATAAAAAATGTTGACTATAAAAAATTTTTCTGCTTTTATACAAATGACGTAGACGAGCCATATATATTTCTCAAAGAAACATTTTCTCTCAAATCATGGAGCTATAAAACGACAGCGATATTTCTATAGCTCCTTTTATACGCGCGGAGAATAACCGTGTGTTTCAAAGAAAAAGAGAGAGAAAACTAGAAAGAAAGAGAGAGAGAGAGAGAGAGAGAGTTCACCCGCGGTTATTGTCACAGGTGGCCGGTCTCGCAGCTCCTCGTACGTGTTAAACATTAACGGGCGTAGATCACGCCCGGTGGATCTCTCCCTGCGAGACTCGCCCTACGGAATCAACGCGTGATTCCGCGGCGAGAGGATGGGACACTATTAATTGACGAATAGAACTCCCACGACGGAGCACTCTCGCGCCCTCCCACATAATTCTCTCTTAATGTGACATTTCTCGTCTACTCCTCTTACTTTCCGCCCTATCCACATCCGAGATAATCTTTCTTCTCGCGTCGACGACGAATCGAATGTTTTTCCCGCACGTGATTGCGAACGTACGAGAGCGTGCGATTCTCCCTTTCTCACTCTCCGTCTTCATGGGGTCGAACCAGCGAAGCTGTCCAGATATTATGGTCGTCCCATAAAAGCCCGCCACCTCGGCGATTGGGCTTTCCCCGGGCATTTATTATTGCGCGTCCGGTCGCAGCGAGTGGATTAAGACGAGACGGGAATCGGAAGTCGCGGGTCGGAGCCGAGATAACGTCGGCGCGGGAGGGAAAGGGGAAGCAGACAGAATGGAGAAACAAAAGGAACCCTTGGGAGTTAATCGTCCCGCGGCAGGGGATTGTTCTTTCACGCGAGATATTACGAGAGATCGTATCGTATCGAGATCTGCGATAATTTTCTCGGACTTCGGCTAGGTCGATGTAATGGATTTTTTATGCGTTCTCCTCGTATTGTATTCTAGATAAGGCCACTTCTCTAGCTATACTTTACAGAGATATATTAATCATTTTCGGCAGGAATTGTCACGTCATCTCGCATATAACTTGTCTCGAGAAATATATAAATCGACGATAAAAGTAGAAATTTTTAATTTTTGTAGGGTGAAATTTTACAAACGAATTTTCGCAAAATCCATAGAATAATCTGACTCGTCTTCTTTAATGCGGCATTCTCGCTAATACGCGGAATTATTATATAGCGGATATTATATATCGGATTCACATTCGCGGATAGCACAAGCTAATTGGATAAGTATCGTTCATAAGTACGTTCTAACGGAATTTCTTTTTGCGCGCGAGCCATTCGCACGAAGTGGCCCCGCCAGGCACCAACATCAGTAGCCGCGAGCGTCAGTCGATGCAATGGAAGTTAATTGGGTAATTAGTGTCGTTAATAAGCAGGCTTTAATTGAACTTTTTTTTCCGGGTCGCGAGTGGTTTGCGCGTTCGTAAAGGAAACGTAAGGGAGTAGACGCGCTGTAGACTTTGCGAGACGCGATATTTTTCCCTTCTATAACGTCGTCGTCGTCGTCGTCGTCGTCGTCGTCGTCTTCGTGTAAATTTGTAGGGATAAGGGGACTCGATAAAACGACCGCGCCGCTTTTTCTTCCCCTTTTTTCTCCTCCGTCGAAGGCTTAGCCGCAAGAGAGTGCCGGATCGTCGGTAATTCCGTCCAATTAGGACACTCCCAATTAGGAACCTTAACCCCGCGCGTCATTCCTTTCCGTACCCCATTCTCCAACTTTCCGGATCTACTACGCGGAGACTTACGACAGGTCGCCTTCGCCAAGTCTTGGCGAAAGTATCGGAGAAACTTGGTTACGCTCGCTTATCGGATGTCGGATACTTTGGTTCATTTTTACAGAGATTAGCGACTTAACTGCTGATATTACAATGTTTATTTCATTTTATCCACGTGCTTTCCAGATGTCAAGCTCATGATACTTTGACATCGTGTTTTAGTGCTTTAAATATCTAATTTAGCGACGTTCTCTTTACTTACGTCACAAAATCGAATGATATTGAACGATCTATGTTACTGTTTGTTGTTGCAGGATGCCGAGATCGAGAAGTCGAGGTTGCCAGTAATCAGTCCGGGTTTATCCAACGGTCGCAACAGCAACTCGTCATCCGCCGATAGCCTCCTATCGCTGCTGATCCCGACGCCGTTGCGAGAGACCCTCTGGGCAACGGTTGCTCTGTACCTCGGCTGGAGACTTGTCTCCCGCTTGCGATAGACGCATCGGTCTTGCCCAGCCAGCGTTCCTGTGGACGACGATCATGTCAGCGACCGGAATGACGGCATTGAAAGTCGTTAGAATGGACTTCCGCCAGCAATTCCTTTCTGGATGTCTTCCGGAAGTCCTGGAATCCTCGATCGGACTGATCGTCTCGAGAGAAGGAAGAAAACAGTCTGCGGCGCGTACTGCGCATCTCACTTTGTGATCGGATGATGGATTATCGAGGTAGACGTATCGAGAAGACGTACAATCTCTCGTTTGAATATTCACTCCGATTGTATTTTGTATATCTGTTTTGTATCTTGCGCGTCCCTGCGCGCAACTACGCGAGAATGCGCTTGTTTGATTTTGATCGGATCTTGCAGGTCTATCTGACTGTTTAGAAGATATTGATATAATCGATGATCGAATCATGATGATGATAGTATCAGTGCTGATTTCTAATTTTGATAAATAATAATTTAATCATTGATTCCATAATAATGATAATAATTATAATTATATTAAATATTGATTTATTTAACAATTGATTATTAGAATAATTGATTACAATCTTTGATTTGATAATTGAGAATCGATAATGATAATTATTAATAAAATTGATAATTGTGATCATTGATAATTATATTGCTTTGAATCAGAGTCCCTCTCTATTTAATGTGGCTCCCTTCAATCCGACGAGTAATAAGATTTCCGACTAAGAACCTATTTGTAGAGTTCCGATTTCTTGATTATTTTCTATCGATGTTAAGTCGACATCGAAAGAAATCACTCGCCCGATCTATTTCTACCTCGCTGCTATTCGTCGCGAGAGTTGCGTGCTGTCGATAAATTATGACTGTGATTGCTGTAAAATGACGAGGCGAGTAGGCAACGGCGGAGTGGCGATGAATTACAAAGTACAAGTGCATTCTCGCGCGATGCAGGAGTCACTCTTTCGAACGCTGTACGTGCCGATAGTTTGCCCTGCGGATCCGTAAGCGGAGGGCGAAAGACAGGAGGGGGCTAGAGAGTTTTAGGGGAGATAACCCGGGCGAGAGTAACCGAATTGCATATTACGTCGCGTCGGAGCCCGAGACGACACGAGGAGGGAGAGGGTATAGAGGGGCGAGCCAAGGACGAGATCCAAAGAGGATTAAACCCAATAATCAAATGATGATCTCATTACGGATAAATAAAGAGAATTAAATAAAGTAGTGTGATTACACGGGAACGAGAGAGGGCGGACCGCAACGTCCCTTATTCTCCGACGTCTTCTCTTTGCACATCCGTCCCTCTCTTGGTCTCGCCAAGATAGAAAGACTACTCTTCGATACGCGGTTTGTAGATAACGCGGTCTCTCGACCGATACCGCTCGACGGGATCGAAATTTTTTTTTTTCAAGTTTTTTTTTTCTAACGATGCCACGCTGTGCGACATTTCGCGAGGTTTGCTCAATATATTTGGTCTGATGATATCGCGAACCTAATCAACGAATCTATTCCGTCTCGATTACAATCGATTGAGATTTTCCTTACGATCGATCGGCCTTGCTTAATGTCGGAACGGCGCGGAACATATGTATATACATAAAGAGAGAGAGAGAGAGGGATGAGTATGCGTGTTTGCATTTAGAGGGATGACGACATATTCCAAAAATATAAGATAATAGGGGACGCTGCGAGGACGTGAGGTGGAGACAGGGGAGCAAACTTGCGTATGTATAGAGGATTTTATCTAAAATAATAAACAAACTCAGTAAATAAGTCGATGTTATAATAATTAAAATAGATAATCGATTATATAGACCGAGGATCGCAGCATCTTGATTGGCTAGCTGCGATTCCCGTGGACAGTTTTCAAATGATCTCCGGTAGCTTAGCTATTAGGTAGGCGCCCTCGTCCATGCGGGACGCCTTTCGCGACACATTGGAAGGAGCACTTCCCTCTTTCCCCTGTGCGTACTTTTTCTACAACTCGTCTGTATTCTTCTCTTTCCTTCTCTTCTCCGCGCGTTTCTATCCCTTTTCTTTTGTCGGCAAATTGTCTATCGATTCTCTCGCTCTGAATCACCTGTTTTTGACGCGATTCCCTCCGTTTCGCTTCCCCGCTTCGCAGTTCTATATAATTTACCGATGACGATTTTGTTGCGCGCGATGTAACGTAATCTCTGATGATCTCGAACGTAGCGTGTATCGATAGAATATCATATATTGTTTTCACTCGACAATCCAGAGAGTCTCGATTTTCACGGTCGAGCGGATCAGGATTTTTCATTTCGTGATTTTTCTTAGGGTTCTACGGGAACGGCGAAGAAAAGAGCGAGTGAAGGGGAGGAAACGCGTATATTCTCGGGCTTTCGGTTGCAGACTATCCAGACCAAAACTATCTGAGGCTGCTGTGTATAGTCGTCCCTGCGGGCCGCGTTTTCTCTTTTCTCCCGAGTACAAGTCTATTGCGTTTTTCCTTTGTCTCCCTATTGATAGGCTGATTGTGACGTTACTCCGTCGAAGTATTCCAATGTGTAGGTCCATAGTATTTATTTATAGGCGATACAGTTTTTCTATTCGTCTAATAGGCGTTTGAGAAATAAATAGTATATATGCGCGGGCGAGATATATTACTGCCATTTTTCGAGATAAGCAAATTCTCGCCAAACGCTTCCGTGGGAGCGGTTTTGTGGAAAGTCAATAATAATGTCGGTGTCCGTAATTCTTAAAGACGAAGTAGTTAGCGTCGCTGAGACACAAATATTTTAAGAAAATATGAGAATTCGTGAAACGCGCTGCAAGGAGAAGTCGTCTTAGACGACGAAAAAATGAGTATTTAACGCGTCGTTTTAATCTCGGCACGCGCAAATTTTCGAGTCTTTATCATGTGTATTTTCATCATATTTTAGCGCTCCATTCTGTCGTGTTTTTGCGAGAATATTTCTCATGTTTAGAAACTCAAATCTATTTCCACGGAACGCGAGTCAACCGTTGAATCAAATTATACATAAATGGTGAGATTAGATTTCCATCGAAGCATTTAGCAAGTGAATTTAATATATAAATAAATTTATAAATTTAATATATAAATAACAATTGTGCGTGATTTTTGAATTTACTAAAATAAAAGAATAAAAGAATAAAAAGTTGCTGCAGTAGATTGTTTAAAAGATGATCTTTATATACATATACATATAAATTGTAGAGTTTTAACATTTCACGTTTATCTCATGGAATCTAATTTCACAAGATAATATTTACAATTTTACATAAATAATTTTTCGTCATATTTATCTGGAAATTTGGGCTCTTACAATCGGCGTGTCAAAATTGTCAACATTTGATGAAATTGTCAAAATTTGAATAATGCGCCGATGATCGAATTCGCGCCAACTGTCAGGACCAACTGTATTGACAGCTGTTGCGAAAAATTTGTCTGAATTTAATTTAACGGTGTGATTCGCCTCGCACTCTCATCTCGGCAGAATCTCTAATATTCGATCAGGTTTCCTCTGTGCAGCTTGCTCCTTTCGCGGAGAGAGCACGCAACGGTACAAGATTATCGTGTATACATATTAATACGATATAGATAGTGTTTGTCGTTGTCATGGGGAGGACCACGAGTTTTAAGGGGAGGACGACTCTTACTCTCGTGGAGGTTGTTGCATTCCGACCAAAGGGAAAAATTCCCGTTTTCCTGCAGCGCGATAAAACGTGGCGCGTGACGGCCTAAAAAAAGGTCGCAGCCATTTAATTCTTTTTACTCCGTATAGATAGGGAAAGGCAGAGCGAATTCGCCGAATTTGGCCCGGGGACGGAATATATTATATATATATATATATATATACACATACGTGTTGGAGAAAAATTGAAAGTGAGAAAACACGGCGCATGTACATAGTCGCTTTTTTTCGGGGCCGTAAAAAACGCGATAACTTCGAACTACGGTTTTTTCCCCCGATATATTTTTTTTTACTTTTTTGTTCTTTTTTTTAGATTAATTGCTCTATAAAAGCACTTAGGTAATAGTCAGCCATATTGAAGATATAATGATATATAGATAAACGCATATATATTATAAAAATATATATATATATAATATGGAAGATATATATAAAAGCATATATATATATTTTAAATGGTATATTCGGGGATATTATTGTTTCGGGAGAGATGATAACCCGTTATATGCGGAGGAAAGAGAATCGTATATTTCAATAGGGTTATGTGCCCAGAGAAAGTATAACGGAGAGGTGGTGTTACAAGGATAGTGGAGATTAGACGATTCTTCGGAGATTGATGAAGATCGAAGGGCGTAAGTCGAAGGTGGGAAATAAGCTATAACTGTGACTATGCGGATCATGGGGGGCAGGCTGTCGATACGCTTACTCAAAGAGAGATAATTTCGCATCTGGGATAATTTAACCGCATCTTTTAAACAACTTTTGACATGGGAAGACACGAGAAACGCGGTCTTCTCGAGGGTCTTTCCGCGTTGGAAGAAAAACAAAAAGAGTCAGCAATATATGTATATATGTACATATTTTGCACGCGCAATATATAAGAATAAGTGCACATACACACACACATACACAATGTGACGGAAAAGAATGCAGCGGTAGACGCAGCCCGCCCACCCGAGATCCCCGCGCGTCAAAGCGTCACTGTGATCTCGTAATTATTAATAAAATATCCGATTATTATAACGAATAATCATATTGAATACTATAATACATCCTTCCCCTTCCCTCTTCTATGACAAAGAGAACCCCTCCCTTCCCGGAGACGATTTAACGTACTTTTGCAATTGCGGTTGCGCTTTTCTCTCATTGCATTTCTTTGGCCCACCTTGTTCTGTTTTTTTTTCTTTTTCTTTATTTTTTTATAGTACGCGTTCGCGCGCGCGTTAGTTTGTAATAATCTCATAAGATTAAGTATATGTTAACGAATCTTTCATATGATCTCCTGGAGGTATCGATTGTTACGCGAATTCAGCGGTCGACGCCGTTCGTTTCCGCCCGTCCGCGCACAGAAAGTCTTTTTTTCTCTCTCTCTCTCTCTCTCTTTCTCCCGTCTCTTTCTCGATTTTTTCTATCCCTCTCGATTAACGGTTCGTCAAAACGAACGGCATCGGCGCTCGATTGGCCGATACCTCAATTAGATAAAGATAGGATTATTAGGATTAAAGAGAGATAAACCATTATATTCGACGTGAGGCGAAGGATGACGGCGTTGTTGTAGCGATCTTACTCGGATAGCTAGGTTTATAACAACGAAAAAACTGTTTATCGCTGCGTTCGCACTCAATAATCATCTACGACATAGTACGATCACTAATTATTATTATTATTATTATTATTATTATTATTATTATTATTATTATTATATATTATTGATTATTTTATTATTTCTATCATTATACTCGTCGCAAAACATGTGAAAGCTCGAGGTCTCAAACTCCCCGGCGCTATAAAGAGATAATCGCTAGTCTTATCGGACCAACCATTGAGATTCGTGTATTTTTGTTTAACGACGCATATTTTCTAAGATCGAGATTTCCCTCTCATACATACATATATATACATACATATATATATATATATATATATATATATATATTTACAAATATATATATATCTATATTTTTTTTGTTTTAAATAATCGATTAAACCTCTCTCCTCCTAGAAAGGCAATGTTTGCCTTTCCTATAATTGCGATCCCGAAGTATCGAGTTGGAAAGTATTGAAGGGAAGATGGGCTCTTTCGGATTCGCGCGCGCAGATAAATTTTTAATAGGACCTCTCCGGATATCAATCGATACGAGACGACGAATATCGGATCGAAGTGCACTGACACTTGTATTTCTCCGTAAAAACACTCTTCTATCAGTAACAAGCTATTATAGTACGTCACATAACGCATGCATTTCGATTGTGATCGATACTCTTTTCGCGCAGGAACGGACGAGCCCCTCTTGCCCTTCGGTTCAAGTAACAAATTGAAATTGTATGGAGACAAGAACTCATTGTACCCAAAATTACATCTATATATACATATTTACGCTGACACGGCATACAAACGTGTATGCATATTACATGATTACATGTACACACAGACATACACTTGCCCTTAATACTATTGTAATTGTCTAAGATCTTATGAGAAATTTTCGTTTGCTCAGACTGTATAAGTTTGCCATAAAATGACTGTTGTACGTTCTTCGGATGTGTAGTACTCGTGTCTAGAAGTAAGAGAATTATTCGCGATTCTATCGCCCCAGCCACAGTCAGGTGCCAACCGTCGCTCACGGTTTCGTTCTCTTTAGCGGAGCACGCTGGGACACGTAACAGTGACCCTCGGCTCCGATCGATAGGTCGATCATTTGTGTCACCGTGCCACTTGGAAACCCCGCTTTTCTCTGAGTCCCTCGAGTGTAACTCGCTCGACGCTCGAAATACGTATCTCGATTTCATCTCGTCCGTTGATTTAGTATTTACGCAACCGTCTTGTCTTATTTAATTCTGACCATTGACTTACGTCACGAACTTTCAAATATATACAAACACGACAAGAGGATATTTATATTCTGGTTAAAAATTTTGTAAATATAATTAATTTTTTTTTCGAGGGTAATTGTTGGCAAAATAAAATCTTTTTTTTTGAAAGATATTCTAACAAGAAAGTTTTATCAGATTCTTTACGTGTAATTCGCAAATCTTTATCGCATTTGTTTCATAATCGCTCCATGTGATAAAGTTGATCGAATCAAAACGAGAAGCGAGCGAGTCACACTCGGCGGACCATCTTTGCCTATCTCTTTGCTATGTAATCTTTTGTGCTCCAATTTAAATAGCAAGAAGCTCGTAAACTCTGAATGCCTACAAAAATACGTTACCTGTAGCCAAATGTCCCGTGGACCATATAGACCGCCGCGATCTATACGTTATTTGCGAAAGAAGGAAAACGATAGGAAAAAAGAGAGAACGAGGAAATATGTATTTGGGTCGATCGAGCGTGCGTGAAATCGTATGAAAGGGAGCGTACAAAGAGAGCGAGAATGAGAGAGAGAGAGAGAAAGAAAGAGAATAACTTGATAACAAAAAATAAAAAAATTTTAACCGTTAGAATTTTCCTCCCCAGAACAAACTGTTATGGGGTCTCTCAAGTCGTATGTAAAGCTCGCAACTGCCTTGTGATAGAGTCTGGACTGCAAATAATTCCGACACGTGACAGAGATAATATATAATCGGGCTGTAAAGACTGTCAATGGAATACGATCAATGTGTATAATAAAACATAGAAGAGACAAAAAAAGACACATAGAAAAGACAATACATCTCGTTGATCAATTTTCGTCCAGCTGACCAATCCAAAGAAGCGACCAAATAAGTGAGGAGGGAAATGATGCGAGCGCTTTGCACGACACTTGAGGTGCTTTTCTTTATCTTTTCTTTTCTTTTCTATCGACAACACTGAGATGCGATATTGAGATGCTATACGCGTGTCCGTTATTTTTTTCTTTTTTTATTTTTGTTCTTTTTTTTATTTTTAGATATATGTATGTCTTTCGTTTTTTTTTTTTTTTTTAGCTTCGATTATCCCGACGCGAGTGATGGACGGAAGATGTACGGCGGTCACGTGATATATATTATACAAAATATATGGTATTATGTAATAATCTTCCTTCTTTAGTGCAGATGTGAGCGAAAGAGAGCAGAGTACTGTTGATTTGTTTTTTATTTTTAGTTTTGTCTCTCCTCTTTATCTCCCCTATTAATTTCGATCGTTTCGACTCTCTCGTAACGATCCACTTGTCTCCTCCGTCTTCTGCAACTCGACTTTACTTTCTTTTCTTTTTTTTTTTTGCGTTTTGTTTCTCCGCGCCTCCAATTAAATTTCGACTTAAGACGGTAGCTCTCCGAGCGGTCTAGGAGTGTTTTCGAGGCGAGGAGAAAAACCCCGAACAGAAAACTCTTGAGCTCCTCCTCTCTCGTCGTTTCTTCCCGTCATTTCGACCTGGAGCAGCGACGGTAGCGAGAATGTCACAATAATCAACGCAGAATGCAAGGACGCTCGAGAGAATATATCTCCTCTGTTTCTTTTTTTTTGTTTTCCTCTTTTTTTATGTTTTCGTCTACCGTTTTTTCTCCTTATTTCTCTTCTCCCTCTCGTATCCTCCTCTCTCTCTCTCCTCTTTCGCGTCTTATTGATGTTTTTAGTTTTAAACGAACGTATGGTCGCGCGATTGTCGGGATGTGCCTCGGCTCCTCGCGCGAAATTTCGCGGGATACTGCCGTCGATTATCCCCGAACGAATGGAAAAAGGGGATAATACGTGAAAGTGATAAAAAAAAAAAAAACACATAACGAGAAGCCGGTGCGTATCTGGCGCGCGGATCTAATCATACAATGCAATGCTGTGCTATTATAAGTCATTACATATACCATATGTTATCGATTACTTTTGGTTTTAGTTTATGACAATTTTTCGTGTTATTAATTTTATTGAGTATGATTTTAAGTACTATGTGCGCGGACGTTTATGATTATTATCTATTAATAGATTATTATTATTATTATTATTATTATTATTATTATTATTATTATTATTATTGCCGAATTTAATTATTATTATTATTATTATTATTAATATTATAATATTAAAAAAGAGATATCATTACTATTATGATTATATTATCATTGTAATCTTAATATTTTGTAACCATCATCACTCCCCATGGTCGATTACTTTTACGAATCGCTCTCACGTCCGCTGTCCGACCGCCGGTCGACGAAGCGACCTCCGGAAGCCGCTGCTGCAACGAGAGAGGAGTCCGACTACTTATCGTTGTACACTTTCGTTCTTTTCCCTTTTCGCATGCTCTCGTTTCTCTCATGATGCGCGGCGCCTCGGAGGCGCGACGACGACCATTGGGAGTTCGCAAAGGGACGGGGGCATCTCTCCGCTACCCACCATGTCTTTCATTGTACAGATTTTTTCACTTTTATATAGTTATCTCGATATATCGTAACGTTACGCAACATCGATTGCGGCGGTGGCCCCACTTATGCGTCGCCGTATCATTATTGTACGTTTTTGATTTTTCTATTGAATAAATGTGAACACGCCGAAAGCATTGACACACATGTATCTTGATATTATATCATCACGCTCCTTCACCCGATCCTGTCTCTTGTCATCTTATGCCATTTATGTTAAATGTGTTAGTGAAAATTTTATTTTTATTCCGAATGTATAGACGAATAAATCCAAGTATAGAATCAATTTTATTTTAAATAAATTATAGAATAAATCTTAATTGTATTGACAAGAATTAGAGAGAGAGCGTGATTATATATAGATGAAGCAGACGCCTTGGTTGCCCAATTTGTATCGATCTGCGCGGGTCGGTCATAGTGTTTAGAATCATTCTAATGGGTTTCCTGAGACGTGCCATCTGCGAAGCTCATTATTAAGGGATGCGACCGCAAACCAATCGAGCGTTGTGCCCCATTCTATTCAGCGTTCTGAATCTAACGCGGACCGCAAGACGTTGGGTTGCCGGTTGTTCCGTATGCCGGATTAGAGCCTGGCAATTGCTTTGTAACGGGCTCAGACAACGGTATATGCAAATCAGGAAATTGAAATATTAATGGCAAATTAGGCGCTACCGATATTTTCTAGCGCACGTGTGCGGCATGTCTCTCTATGTAGGTAAGTAAGATATCTCTTTAATAATATTACATGTATAATAATGGTTTTGTTTAAAAATCGAGAGGAGAAATCAGTGGTAACGATGGTAACATTGTGCAAATGCATCATTAGGAAGATTTTCCGGTGTATCGCTTTTGCAGTTCGCGCTACGTCAACGAAATTGCATATCGGTGGTTTCGAATAACGAGGGCGCGCATATGCCACCCGTGAATTTTCCCCTCTTTCCGAGCCTCATTTTTGCTTCGATTTTCACTCGCGTGTTTCCCCGTGGATTAACTCGATCCGAAACAACAGCAAACAAGAGAGCGCACATATCCGGCGTGTAACTGAAAAAAGATCACGCCGATGTAACAGCGCGCGTGGAGAATATTCGCGGCGCTTTGCTATGTTTTTAATAACACGGGCTATATATCGGAAACGCAGGTGTGGAAGGTCGAATAAAGTAGAAATGCGCAAACCGAAACATGTATGGAAACTAGCGAACCAATGAAACAATAGATTTAATTGAACGTGCAAACTATGTACATCAGTTATACATATATATTTTTTCGTATCTGAAAAATATGTCGAGTGTTGAAATATTTTCAATTTCAATTTTCAATCTGACATTTGATACTTTAAGCAGATTTTTTAAACTACTTATATTGTAACTTTGCTTTTCTTTTTTAAATTTCTAAGTGGGAAATTGTTCATTTACCATCTATTTAAATTAAAAAGTTTAATGTCTACATTTAAAAAAATCTATCAAAGTCGTCTTGAATCATAGATGTGAGAAAAATTAAGATTGAAAATAGCAACCAAATTTCGATTTGAAATCATATTGCGCATAAATATGAATATGATGAATAAAAAACTATTTTTCATTTTGGAGAGGATCTCTTATATGACAATGAAAAATGGCGTCAGTGATATTTATATATGAAAACGTACACGGAAAATTGTTTTTCTAATCGATCGAGTATAAATAAAAAATCTCTCTTAAATCATCAAATCGTAATAAATTATCAACTATATGTTTTGTTTATTTTTTTAACTATTCAAGTACTCGAAATCATTTAAGCAATCTAAGCGTTAAAATCCCGAACGATGGATATCTGTTTTTCCTTTTAATTCTAGCCATCGTTCGCAATCTCGATCGATTCGGAAACCGCGTGCAAACAACGCGGAAACGCGTTCGAGCGGCGTGAATGAAAAATATATTCGCAAATCTGTACGGCGTCGGTACGTTGCGTCGCATGTGATAGTCTCGGAAATCGCGGAGAAAAACGCGAGTGGGAGGCGAGCGGGAGTTAAACCGAGTGCACATGTCGCCAAAAGCGCGCGTGTCACCGGGTAGAGAAAGCGCCTGTATATCTGGCGTGCATCCATATGCAGATCCCCATTGATATGACAACATTTACATACTGCATATTCGCTCTGGGCCATATACTCGCATCGCCAATTCCCCATTGTTGGCTTTCGGCCACCAGTGCGTTTGATTGACATTATTGGTCGCGCCGCTGACACCAGATTACATTTCTATTTGCATACATTCGCGAACCAGTTTGAGCCCATCCGCTCGCCTACGTGTAACTCGCTCTCGTAGTAATGTCCCTCTCTCGTTTTGCGTTTTCGTCCGCGTCGACGATTGGACAACGATTCTCGTCGAGGCTCTTCTCGCGCGTGTCATATTTTTGCACGCGGGATGCAAGCGCGATAGACGCCGATGATTTAGGGGCGGGTGTTTTTCCCGCGATTCTGAAGGGTAGCAAAATAATTTGTTATACATTTAAGGCTTGTTCTGAATACTCATTATTAACATTTATTGATATTCAAGCATAGTCGAATCTAAATAACTTATCTTATCTTTACAACTTAATTATTTGCGATCAATTTTGTATAAGATCCATATATTACTCGCTTTAATGTAGCCGAAAGTCAACAGTGAGAAATCTGCAAGCGAGTATATATGTAATCTAGAGCAAATAGGCAGCACGTAAATGTGTCGTATAAATTTCTCTTTAAACATTATAAAGTAAACGTACATGTCTCTCTCAATAATTTTTTCTGAACAAAATTAACGTCTATATATTGCAAATTATTATATAGACACGTAATCGTTATATTACCCAAGCAGTTTGCCGCTTGGCTTGTGTGAAAAGTCTATCGCAGTACCCTTTAATCACACTGTGAAGTGAGTACACGTGTCGATATCTTCCACCGACTGCACCGTGTTGCGCTATCAAATTTTTATTTATCGGGCTCGGCGAGAGAGAGGAAGATCGCGGCTTCCGTTCGATTAGATGTCGTTGCGAAAGAAACAATAGATAGCCGGCCACAAAAGGGCGCGTGTCAGGCGTTAGTGGGTTATGGCGGTTAGCCCTTTATTGGTGACCCTTCGGCCCGTGAAATATGAACGTCGCCTTTGTCCGCGAATAAGCGCGTCGCGCGGATATTAAACGCGGATATGCGAGCTTTATCCGCGAAAATTAGACTATATGAGTAACTACTCTCGCGGAAAAGGAGCGAGAGGAGTTTTTGAATGGACCGGTGATCGATTGTTCTTGATCACTTATTAAGTTTCAATAGCGCGTGGGAAAGCTAGTGCTTAATAGAAATTGTTACTTTAAAAATTGATATTTAATAATAAAATAATAATGAAAATTGTAAGTAATAATAAAATTATATCATGAAAAACTTGTGTGTTTAGATTTATATTTTATGAAATATATGTATAGCGGAAAAGATTTCGCGGCTTTCTAGCATTACACTATACAATTCCATTGTACTTAAAAATTGTCTCCGATTATTATCAAAATCAATAAGAAGGAATAGTCTTATAACTTGTGTTGAAAATATTATATGTGGAGGATAATATAAAAAAACGTTATGCAAACAATGTGGGGACATGAAATTTAAAAAAAAATGAGTCTGAATACATATAAGATTTAAATAAAATAATTAAATAGAGTTTTGAACAGTCTATAATATTTCCAATATTAAATTATGTATTTATATGTTTGTTTTGATGAATGTAACAATCTATAAAAATAATTTTATTTTTCAAATCTAAGAAAATATTTTTTTTCAATAATAAGTGAATGCGTAAACACGCATGAATATATATAAATACGATATTGATAACTTATGATAAGATATCTTTGATAAGATATGATTTAGAGAATCTATTGTTTTAGTGGTAGCAATTCTCTGTTCCAAAAAGATTTACGATTGTTTTTTCTTTTTAATATTAAGAGACTAATAAAAATTTAAAAAAAATTGAGGAGGAGTATAAAAAAATACCATCTTATGTGTGACACTACATAAGCATACGTAAAGCATATTCAAAATTATATTATCTTACAATGTATAATGTGTGATGCTACATAATGTATACTCACAAGTATTATTATTTTGAATGGCATTTAAAATATATGATAAATACATTTTTTTTAAGTGATTATCGTTTGGATTATTTAAACTATGTTATCTCAAGATCCTTATCAATATACACGTATGTACGTAAAAACCTCAAGATAACTATAGATAGATAAAACTGAGACGACTGGATAAACCACTGCGCAGTTAAATACAACAGCGAGAATATATACCGGCCAATGTTACAAGCACACTTTCTATCGTTGCAGTAGTAAACAGTCAAACCGCGTGATCGGACAAAAAAGTCGCGGAGTTATTGCGTCGCGGGCATTGCACGGATTTTCTCGTCTCGCTCTCGCTCGTGCCACGCATGACTTATTTTTTGCATACATCAGGTGTTTCGCGTGTTTTCTGACGCGCGCGCGCGACAGAATATAACCGGGTTAGACGAGTGGTGCGATCTAAAATGATTCAAGGTGACGGAACGTGACAATCGTGCGGTTAACATTAAAATGCGATGACTAACTAAGATAGATAAGGACTAATTACGTAGAAAACTTTGTTCTTTATTTGCAACAGAGAAGGATTATTGCGTATTGTAACTTTTGTATCTAGCACGTGCGGCGAAGAAAAGATACACGCCCACTTTCTACTCGAAAATTTCATCGATTCGATGATATAAAACGCTTGCAAGATATGACTCGATAAATATTTGTTCAAGTAAAATAAGACCTGTCAAAGCGAGGAAAAAGAAACACTGGACTCGCTTTCATAGATGTGATAAAATACAATGAGTCATGATGATTTTTTTAAATCATTATACATGTGCATATCTCCGGGCTTGCAAACAATACAACCAATGAAAAGGGCTATATAATAATGGCGCTTATCGAGAAACATCCAATAAAAATGCGACTTTTATGTGTGACGTAAGCGCAATACAATTTCGTAGATTAACTCACGTCTAAAATAGTGCGGTGAATCACCGGTTTTTGATTGCATCGATATCGTGGTATTTTTCTTATCAATATGTAATCAGTATCATACATTTTTCATAAATCTTTTGTAGAATTTATCAATGATAAGTGCATAGAACGATAAAATTACAGGCTTTAAAGAAATGAGTAGACAAATAGAGAGACAATTAACAAATGTGAGTACTAATAAAGATGATCGAATTTTAATAATCAATAATCTGTCTCGAAATTTTTCCCTTATTTTTACTTTCAATTTGCAATCTAACTCAACCTAATACTTTGAAAGCAGCATGAAATTATCCTTTTTTTTGAAATTATTTAATCTATAATTATGCCGAAAACTTGTCTCTTACAATTAGACCTCTAATGGAAAATATGTATTTATTGTCTATTTGAAATAAAAAGTATATGAGAGCTCAATTTCTATACAAAATAAAACTATCAACATTTTCTAAAATCTATAAATGTACAAAAATTAAAAATAGGAACAAAATTTCGATTTGGGAATTTATTATCTTCTGAAAAATATCGTTACATGAAATATTGTAAATGCAAAATTTCTCTTTATATTGTAACATAATATTTATAATTTTGACGCCAATAATAGTAACAGCAATGTTAACAGATTATAACTTGATTCGCAACGTCCTAGCCGGACTTGTTGCTCAACAATGTTCTGAAGAACCCAGAGAGACTTAGAACATAGATATAGGACAATCCTCCGATAACCCACATGTGGTATCGGGATGCTTCATGCGACGCGTCATGAATCAGCCTTCGGAGACAACCTCACTGGAGCGGTAACGAGCCGATACACCTCGAGAGCAAGCATTTAATCACGCGGAAAAGCTGACCGAATAAACAGTGATCGATCTACAATCTACAGCTAGGTGAGCGAGGCGATACGAGAGCGGGACTACCGCGTGTACACAGGTGCGAGCCACGCGACACTGCGTACGTGCGTGCGTACATGCGTACGCAATCGTGTACACATCGCTGGCCGCGAAAGGAGAGAACAGTTTGTCATATCGCTAGACTGCCTGTCGCCTGTGGCTCTTTATCGGCTTTTTCTCCAGTATGATTGTCGTCCTCGGCAACCAGTCGACCGATAATGATTCACTTCCTGCGATATGGTAAATCAGGTGTCGCGAGGACAAATCATCCACAGATACTCGTCGACGTACCTGAAGATTGTAGAAGCAACGGATGAGGAAACAGTCTTGTTACAGAAATACTAACCGAGCTTGAAATTGAGAAAAAGAAGCGCACCCCGAGTTATACAGTCGGTTAGGATAAAGTCGTTTCTCGTATTCCTGAAGCAAGTAGTTTTGCTGCGCGACCTCATTGTCTTCTTCTAATCGTCTCGTGCTCGAGCTCGAAATGACTGGATGCAGACGAGTCGTCCTGAAAGCGGAGTAACCGTGGAGAACGGGGTATACTTTGCGAAGGTAATACTAATAGCCTAGAGATGTTCCGAGGATGTGCGCGCACTTGTGGGCGGAAATGGTATCGTAAAGCGGCTATTATGACGCGGCTCGTCTTTTGTGCGGATAATAAAGACGGTGATGTTATTATTATTATTACTACTATTATTATAATATCGCGGCATGGAAAACACACTTGTTTCCCGGGTATCGTTACTCGAGAGAGCTTAACGTAAAAGACTGCCGGAAGGAACTTGAAAGCAGGTTTACCGAGGAACAAGCGGGAGATAGTAAAACCCAGGAAATGATATTTAAGAAATGCTATATAATGATAAAAGTTAAAGTTGAAAGAGGAATACAATAAATGGAACTCACGTGTCAGATAAAATAATTTATTTAAATTTGAATTTATTTAAATTTATTTAATTTTTCAAGAAAGATATTGATGTTATTATATTAATTGATGTATGATAATTGTCGTATATATATATAAACATTTTATATGTATCAGCAATTTTTTATTTCATATTATTACAACTCGGACTTTATAGATATCATTTGACAACTGCAGCGTAGAAGTTTTTCTCCTTCATTCTTACGTAATATGTCAGCAGGTAATCTACCGAGAGATACGATGGGAACTTTTAGACTATGGCGCATGAATAACCGTCGCCCTCAACCTCATCATTCGTTTACCAAAGAGGTTGCCAAGAATTTTTACGGACGATGGAAGAATTGTTGAATTTAACAGCTGCGCCAGACTTCGGAGTAGCGGACCATGAACAGACTCACGAGATGGCCCGTAAGAAGATTTAAGAAAAATATTGCCCGCGGCGCAGTGTTTACGATTCCCCTTTATCGCAAAAACTCCGATGGACGTGATAAATATTGATAAACGCAATAAATATTAATAAGTACGGCTCGACCAATCTCTTCCGTTTAGCGATTTCCAACACTTTACATTCGTTAAAAGAGTATTTTAAAGGAGTATTTTATTCGTAACATATAATTGACTTCTCTCTCTTATTCACTACATTGTTTTTTTCGCATCGCTCTCCTCTCACGTGCTCTTTCGTCCTCTTATTTTCTTCTTTGCCAGATTCTCGCAATTTCTCCTCCTTCCTCCTTCAATCATCAATCCACCGGCCAACGAATCTCGCGGTGAAACCAGTTTCTAGCTCGCTTATTTCGTACTCTGTATTTGCGCAACAATATATATTGGCGCCGATCGTGTTTGCTCAAAGCAAGTGTCGTTTTTTCTTCAGCCGCGTGATTATTCGTTCGCGAACGGCTTCCGCGATTCACGATGATCAAAATCGCCGCACTATTTCATCACAAATGTTTTTCCGATGAATTTTATGCGCAGCGAAAGCCAACACCTATTCCGTTTGTTCATCCCGCGATTCACGCCTTGCATAATTCGCATCGACGCGCCATTAGCATATCGAACCACAAGTCATCGCGTGAGTTATGATGGAAAGGGTTGAATTGTGCACGAAATTATTCGAGCGTCGAATTTAAATGCGCTGCCCCGGAACAGAGAGTCAAGTGATATTAATTGTCGTGACAAAAAGAGCCGAGGAGTCACGAGGAAGAGGGCCGCCTTTGGACGAAACTAATTGCTCGCGAAGAGAGTCGCGTGTCACAGACATCCAAAGAGATGAGTTGAAACAATGTCAAGGCAGAGAAGGTCAAGAGCAAGAAAATTCGAGAAAAGTGAAAAAAACCGTTTATTGAAAATTTTGTTGTTATCTGTTAATTACAGCGCACATTTATAATTTAATATAATTTGCTGTTATGATAATGATTAAAGTATTCCAAGATAAGCAGTGGCTACAATATTCACTACAGGACGCTACAGGACACTAAAGGACGCTAAATATTATAAAGTGTCTCATCGATATAAATAAATGTAATTATTACCGGTAGCATTAACGCATAGAGATAATTAGCGCGATAACGCGAGCATATCTCGGCGATATAAGATTTAACAAAATAAACGAAAAAAGTATTGAGAGAGAGAGAGAGATAGAAAGTAAAAGGAACGACGAATCTTAATGAATTTCTAGGAAGCTAATAATTTCTCTTCCTAGATCGTATCGCGCATGCGCCCCAGGGCTTTTTATTACATTTCAAGTTCGTAAATGTGCAGCCGGGAATTAATTAACCACCTTCCGAGCGAGCAAGAACGAATAAAAATTCATTCGCTCTCGTAATAAGTCCGATAAGCGCAACATAATTTATTGTTTTCTCCTTCGATACGCTGAAATTGATGCATTCATCATTATCCTGTCCGCGAGTATATTAACGTGCGTACCGTTACAATCGCTCGAGTATCGATCTTTTTTTTTTTAAATAAATGTTGTGAAATAAGGAAGTGTCTATACTCGATATATTCATTAATCACAATAAAATATTTGCACTGCACGAACGGTTATTGTTTAAGCATCATTTTTCAGATTCAACTTTTCATGCAAAACTAATTATATTTACGAAAAATGTCAATTTGAATCGTAAACCGAGTGATCGGAAGAAACGCGATCGACATCGTGTCTTCTAATGTCTCCTCATGGATGATAATTACATATTACCTCGCTGCCGATACCACTATTTAATCCGATTCTTCCGATCGCAAAACGCGGTATTAATTAAATGCCGCTCCCGGGAGTAAGATCTATCTCTTATGCAACGCGGACATAATAATTAAAGCGCGGTGATTATCAGTCCGTGCTCCCCGCGATCGGTATCTCAATTGTTTACGCTTCGAAAGGCCGCGCTCCCGAAGACGCTTGTTCACGCTTGTGCGTGCAGCAGCACGCAAAATGCCGGTCCCGTCTATACAGAGTATAATTACGACGCTCGCTTTGCAGTGAGTCTTGCGAAATAGTCGTAACCGGAATCTAATCGCTGGCATATCGAGTCCTGATAATTAACGCTGTTTGATAATTAAGTGACTTCGTCGGCTGACCGGCTCGGCTCGGTTGGGCTCGGAGATGAAACGGAATAGTCGCGTGCTGCTACGAGAGACGGTAGAGAGATAATCGGCTTATTTGCAGCGTCAGAGAGAGAGAGGGGGGGGAGAGGAGAGAGGATAGAAATCGCGCGCGTTTGTCATTCAAGCCGCACGCTGTCGCAGTGTCTCCCAAAGCAATTTCGTTGCGAAAATCGCGAATCGAATTTTTCCTTAATCCCCGCTACTGTCGGCATTATGTTTTATTTTTCAATTTTCGTGAAGAATATCCGTATCTCTATTTTAAAGTATTATAATACAAGTATTATAATACTTTGCATTGATTTACAAATTAGCAACAATGCGTTATTGACACACACGTAATTGGGAATTATATTAAAATATTTTTTTTAAACAAAACGATGCGTTAATATTTTCGAAATGCCTCAGGACTTTAGCGATTATCTCGTGGGATTTATTTGTCGAGATACAGTTTTGAGAAACACGGTGTTATCCGGCATATTTTACACCAATACTTGTGGAATATTATTTATCAAACTGTCAAATTAGATCGCTTGACGATATTGATTGTTGAGAATTTTGAAACGGATAATACAGTTAATATGGCTTTAGCGTGTCTTTGGATATTTCTTAAGCGAGAATTAACTAATAAAATATCATCGATAACTATAATAGTGCGAAAATGGCAAAAGATTCTTATATAGACCAAGAAAAAAATTTATTAATGTATGAGATGAAGATTATTCTCAGCTGTTAAATTCAATTTAAGATTTACCGATCCCTTCTTATTGCTTGTCTATAAGATATTTAATTAATATCTTACAAATATTATTATAATAATTATTGCAACGAAGTAGAAAAATGTAATTGTATTCGTAATTATTTTATTCTTTAATAGGCCGATAAATCTCAATAATCTTTTAATCTGTCTTTAAGTTTGTCGTCATAAGATCAGCCTTATCGCGTAATATTATCGCAAGCAGCGCTGAATAAAAATCATTCAACAAATCGAAGCGATTGACCACAAAAAAAGCCATAAATCTGTCGTTATCTCACAAACATTATTGTATTATTTAAGGACAAAAAAATGATTGATTTTATTATCTTTGCTGTAATCTTTAAATAATAATTATTTCTTGTTTTTATCGATATGAACATCCAAACATTGTGCGAAATTACAATCATCAATTTTCACAAACATAAATCGTTACGATTCAATTTTCATCTCGTTACGTAACTTTTTTTTTAAACTTTACGAACAGTAAGTTAATGGAATTTAACGGCAAGACTTGTATATAACGTACATCAAGAATCGCAATTACCTTCTGCGGAAGTAAAAACGGCATTATAATCGTGCGATGTGAAATGTACACAGAAACCGACCGTAGGGGGTGAAAGGCTAACAATCGTTAATTCGACTTGAAAAGAATGAGTGGAGAACGATCGGTGGCGTGAAGTCTATAATTATCGGCCACTGCAGGTTTGGCGTGTGCCTCTTTATTAGAGGCGAATGCATAGTACAGCGATGAGTTTCACATTCGAAGCTTTAAGAAAGATTCGAGAAAAAAGATGATATTATAACGTAATGAAGAGATCTCTCCCATGTGTGACTAAATTGTAAACAATATTCACATTACATAAATTATATTTATATTTTCAGTAATACAATTATGCATACAATATACGCTTACATATCTTTGCAAATGTATTATATGAGAAGTTTCTCAAAAATCAAACGATCAAATGAGTCCAAATTATTAGGAATCATATGATTAGTGTTATTAAAATTAAAAACGTGAAGTAGTTTAGTTTGGCTTCTGAGAGGTTCATATAATATATTTGCAAAGATATAATTGTAATTACATATCTGAAATGTGTAAAGCTATTAAAGTATTTAAAAGAGAATTACATTAAACGATGTAATCGCAGCCGAAAATGTGATTTTTCGCGGCGGCGAATCTCTCTCCGATTTTTCTCCCGCGATCGACTAACGCGAGAGGGGAAGAAGGGAGGAAAGAGCACGGAGGTTCGTATAATTATAGCACTTTTTAAATGGCAGTCCGACCCCGCACGCGTCTCTCCATTATGATGCATGGGAGTCGAATTTCGACCCCATCGGCCAGCCGCAGCAACCCCAACGTATTGTCGGCTTAATAATACACGCCGCCGTGTACAAAGTGCGGGGCTCCTTGCACGTATACGTCACTGACACCGTATAATCACATCTCGGGCGAGCGAGCGGTGCCTCCCGGTCATGATTCATGCGCATTACGAATATCAAATACTCGGAAAGCGAGCAAATATCGCTCTCGCCATGGAGAGACATTAAGGGTGGCGTTTCGCGACTCACCCACACACAAACCGACGCAATAATCATACGTCGCCGCTGCCTTCTCTCTGTTTTGTTTGCAGAAATTATATCATTGACATAACGACAGTCCCTGTACTCTTTTTACGCCGATACGACATGATATAATTATATTTGACTTCCTTGCAAAGTTATAATTTCCATCGTGACAGCACCGTTATTTTGTTTTAGACTTTGGCAGTTATAATGCGTTTTACACACAGCGTAGTGTTATAATATAACAATATCTCTCTCTCGATTTTTTATTGTGGGAAACTGTCACTATCATTTTCTGGTTCTTTAGCGTGTACTTGAAACTTTATCTAAAATCAAATTTTTTGTTCCAATATGACGCAAGTAATTTAATCGCGTGTCAGTATTTTCGTATTATTCGTATATTACAATTTTTTTAATTAAAAATTTGATATATTAAATTAAGAAATTATATATTTCTTATCTTATTTGTTGTTTGTATATGATAACGCATGTTTTCAAATGTAGATATTGTTACATAAGGAGCAAATTGCTATGAAATTATTTCTACGTACACACATACACATACTGTTTCTTCAAACAAAATTACGATTTGCTCTTTCACAATTCGCGTACATCTTTATCCCGCGATTTCTTGACATAAACGACACATTCGTGGCTTTTTACTCGCGCGCAAACCTTCATCCGACTGTAGCTTCGAAGGAGGTCGCTCGAGAAAAAATTCGCGAGACTAGCTGTATACAAAGGCCCGAACATAGTACGTCTGACGTAACGTCCTCGAAGACAAATTAGCCCGGCGAGGTGGAACGAGCATCTAATCGAGCAGAGCCTAAAACGTCTCGAAGACGATGCTCTATGAAGATTGCCAGCCCTCGGGGCCACGAACCGCCACTTATGAAGTATTATCCGCGTTAGTCGGGGTTAGCTCGACGTCTTTCACTCATCATCTTTCTTTCCTTCTCTCTTTCTCCCTCCCTCTCTCTCTCTCTCTCTTTTCACCTTCTAGCTCACCTATCTTCTTCTTAGAAGGTATCAGCCACTTCTTCAATCGCAATTTCTCTCGCGCGGCACGTCGTGATAATTTGCCTCACGAAGGAGTTATGACGCATCGCGTAGATTTCATTGCATTGACAGATAGTTATATATGATTCTCATCAACACTATTTAGTTATGCAACATAAGAAGAGGAATATTTGAGAATTTTGAGATCTTACATATTAGATCGCTATATATATTGTGTTTTAAAGATTGAGATCGTAAATATAATTTTCATGCTTTATTTTACATTGTACACGTTCGCAGCCAACGCTATCTATAAACTCCGTCAACGCTTTTAATTAAAAAACCGACAAATCCCGGCAGCTGACAAGCGATCGACGTGACGTGCCAAGGGGCGTTCTTAGAATTCTGTTTACACGTCCCTTATCCGCGACGATCTCGAGCGAAATCCGGAGTCGGTCCAGCCGCATAATCCCGGCCGCATTAAAGCGTCTGGTCGCATTAAAAAAAAACCGATCCTCTGCGCATCGTTTGGCTTTCCCTGCGACACTCGTTTGGCTTTGCGTGCAAACTCGAGGTACTAGGGGCGACGACATAAAGGAAGAAGGAAGCAGAAGAATGAAGGAGAAGGAAGGAAATTGACGGGATAAAAGGTAGTAGAGAGGAAGGTAGAAAGAGAGGGAAAGAGACGAGCAGGCACCCTTCGGCGATGATACGAAAATACTGACACGCGTCCGACGATTGATCCACGACACGTGTCTTCAATGCTGCAATCAGCGTAGTTGACTGACGTTGTACGGTGCTACCCGCAGCCAGATTCATTATTTATGAACGATTTGAAAACTGATCTGCCGAATAAAGTGGTCTTTTTTAAAGATGTGGGAGGATCGACCGTGCACCCCCTGGGCGGTTTTGCATCGCATGGTGTGCATAGAGTTTATAATCTTCTAACGCCGCCACAAACATTCGTAAAAATATTTTGAGAGAGATTTATAACACACGCAAGAAGATACGGAATGAATATAAAAATATTTTAATCGCGATTATAGCTTTTTATATGCACGTTATTATTTTCTAGCTTATAGCGTGAAAAGAATTTCTTAAAATAAATATTCTAAACTTTCTAATATGAAACGCATATCTATATTTGTCATCCATTGACCGTTCATCCCTCCGACAATTGGTACGACGTCTCCACAAGGAATAAGAGAAATCTGACGAACTGTGATAGCAGAAGGTGGAGGGTATCTTTTCTTTTGTACCGGTAGAGATACCCACTTATCCGGTGGTTTGACCAGCGCGTCAGAATTTCACGGATTTTCAGGGACCCCAAACGCGAGACCGCGAAGGGAAGGATCGCCGAAGGACATGAATTTTCATTCTCACCGAATTATTCTGTCCGTCAAGCGGCCGAGGGTGGATGGGAGGCGAGAGGGGGAATCCGTTTTCAACAGGAGATTCTTTTGTGCAGGCGAATTGGCGTTCTCGGTGACAAAGATTCGACACTCCGAATTGAAAAGTCTATCGAGAAGAAAAGGATAGTCCATGGTATATTGCGACGGTAAGATATTGAGGCATTGTGAATCGCTCGTGGGGAAAAATATACGGCTAAATAAGGTCGTGGTGGTGTTTTATGGTCGTATGGGGAAGGGGGTGAGGGTGTATTCGAGAATTTATGTCTTATTTTCGGACCAACTTGGATGTTGGAGTAGCTACTGCAGTCTGATTAGATCGCGCACCGTTAAAGCTGCTTAGCAGGGTTTGATTTAGTGAATCTTGATTGTATTTCACGTACATATATCTTGAGGGAATTAGAATTTCTTTTTTATAAGACTCAACAACGTAAACTATACTATTTAACGAAATAGTCTCATGAAATATAATTATAAAATTATTTCTATACTTTTTAAATTCTATTAATATGAATATTTTTATTATTATTTTTATTTTTCTCTCCAAATGACTTCATTAATCGTTAGCCATGATATTCGAGTTTATTTCGAATTTAGAAATCCGTTGCAAATTTCACTTTCCAAGATGGCTGTTTGGAAATCTCATCAAAGATGTCTTACTAATCCCTTCACGTCGAGAAAATACTGGTTTTTCCTCGGCGTGTGATAAGTTCTCCTTGGTCCTTTCCTTGGATCACCTGAAATCAATGATGGTGGATTCTACCTGCATTTTTCCCTTTTGTTGGGATGACCTACCACAATCGTGCGGCAGATCCTTTGTTGAAAGGACCAAGCTACGTCGCACATAGAAGCTCCTTTGCATCAACCATCCACCAATTCGGGAGGATTTGTTTCGGCACTTGGGGCGTGGTAAGCCGACATGAGACCAACGCGCCCCCCGACGAGGTTAATAATGAGGAATTATCGTCGCGATACAATAGGCCTGTAGGAAATCCTCTTTGATCCTCTCGATGAAAATAATACCGCACTAATAGAGTGAGATTATAGCCGTAAGACGATGACGTCACCGTTGCTTCGCATTCTAGTTGCACTCTCGGCAATACCTGTTATAACTGGCTCTATTCACTTTGACATTCAGTAGCATCACCCAACAATCCACCTTCTCTTCTAACTCAAAAATTTAATTTAATTATAACATCAATCGTGAATTAAATATAATATATTAAATTAAAAAAGATTTGAAATCCAAGAGATAAAAAATATATTTACGGATCAATTAACATTACATAATTTTATGAAGGAAGTATATTATATATACCTCCCGCAGCGAATTATAAATCAACGGTCTCCATCGCGCACAGTACGTGTTCCTCGTAAAACACTTTGTTCCGCGTGTCACGATGCGTGAAACGAATCTTTGTAAAGTTCCTACGTAGATCGCAGAGCGTATCACGCGACATTGGATGTATCAGAAGGCTAATTGTCTTCCGCTGTCAGTTGCACCCTACTTGGCCCTGTCCGGGGCACACGCCCCTTTAGGCTACGGCATTGCCGTGGACTCGGCCGTACCATTTTCACATCCCCCCTGCGTCGAGTCCATGAACGCGATGCACGCCCCAAATTACACGCCAGAAAGGATAAAATAATTACACGTTGTCCGCCGCTTTTTCGACGTTGCGCGTTCCATTTCTACAACGTCACCGAGCGGCGAGCCGCTATTTGGAGAAAGTCATACGTGAATTTTACAGCTGCGTGTCAAACGTTTCACACCGCAAACAGATAAACGACAATACGTTGTACAATAAATATTTTTTTCATTTTAATAACGAATTTTTTGACAAAAATTCTTTTTTAGAACCAATTGCTTCCCTTTTTAGAAAAAAATTTGCGAAAAAATATTCTTTGATGTAAGTTTTTAACATTCAAAAAATATCTTTAATTCAAATGTCTTATATGTATATATAATTTTTGTTTAAGACTTATACATATATTTTATACTTCAAATTTGCATTATTCACATGTACGCATGCAAGAAAAAATGCATGAGAAATGCAAGATGTCATCACATGAGACGTGAGAAAAAAAATATGAGTCAGGGAGTAACATCCTTAATAAACGGGAGGGCTGCCGAAAGGCGTGTACGATCACCTGTCGAGGAAGCTTCAACCTTACGTGGCTAAAATTGCTAAGCGGGAAAGATACACACTTAAGTTGATCATAGACGTTATCGGCTTACGCTTTGCAAAATTCATGATACTGATCGAAAATTATTACGAATTATCAAGTATGATTGCACATCATCATAAACCTAGCAAAGAATCTTTGGACAACTGATATTTCATGAAGACACGTCCTTACATGGATGAAAATATATTAAGAGAGGATAATTTATAATTTCGAAAATTGTGTGCTCATGATTTATTGCTTTATATAATCTTACAGGATAGATAAATGTCAAATTAAATAGTTTTCAGCGAAATAATAATAAAAATAAAAAACTATAAAGCTATCGATAAATTTTAATCTTATATCTATATAATATAATTAATCCTAAAATTATACATATATTGTGTCGAACGCTTTAGAAAGATATAAAATCATCTATTATGAGAAAAGGTGAGGTAGGCGAATAGAGAGAATCCCTTGCATCAGCGAGGATAGAATATGCCTTCGCACGTAGAATGGTCGATGCTTGCCTATCGACATCAAAATTGAATTTTCAGCTGAGTCTACAATTTCTAAATTCTGCTAGCCATGCACATCGATGCCGTGATGTAATGGATAAAAAGAGTATATAACTGTGTAATATTAAAAGAATGAATAGAATAAAAAAATTAAATGACTTGTTAAATAACTTGTCCCCTCATTTATGTGAGCGCGTTTGTTTGCGAGCCACTCGGGCTGCCGAATCTCAGGCGATTGTGAAAGGTATATATAATGTGAGATTTAAAATATACAATTTAAAACAATATACATATAATTAATTTTTATTAATAATTAAAGTGTATATTAAACAATAGTAATCAAATTAATTTGTTAATCTTTTCCTCCAGCTTATGTAACATCAATTATTTCAATAGATAAAATGTATAAATTTTGCATATAACAGAAGGAATATATCATCATGAGAAATGTCATTTCTCGTGATTCTGAAATGATTATTCTAAAATTTCTCCAAAATGAAAATCGATGATTAATGCGGAAAACGAAATGTACCATGAGATGTCGAGTCTGAAACTTCAGGGGTAAAACGTAATATGCGAACACCTTGCTCCTTTGATTCCTGAAAAATATTCCATAAAGATAATTTTAGATATCATGCAATATGTATTAAGTTTAGAAATCATGTGTGTTCATTTATTAATGTAAATTTAAATTTGGTCTCAAAAGATTATGTTTGCAAATATTATTGCAAGCCGAATAATTCTTAACTTTAATTTTATTTATTCGAAACAAAATATTACCTGAGGAAAGAATGGAATAGGATCTTGTGAAAACATATTAGAGCTCTGTAAATCTGTCAAAAATTCGGAAAATCTATTTCCTGATGAGCGATGATCGTTTCCGTCTTTTAAAGATTCTTCATTCAAAAACACTACTTGTCCTGAGCCCTCCAGCGTATTATCTTTCGAAAAAAAGTTTTTTCCATAATCTTGAGCAGTTGAAATAATGTCGAGGTTTAATTTGCCTGTTCCGGTCCGATCAGCCTCTGCTCCTACGATGCCTGGGGGTAAAGCTTTTCGTCCTTTTTCCCCAAAGGATTTCAGTTTATTTTTGTTGTCGAGAAAAACAAGTTATTTAATTCATGGAAAACATTAATTTGAACGTCGTGATAAATTAACGGGACAATCTCTACCTCGTGAAACGTAAGATGATTGGGGTAAGCTGTGTTCGCCTCTGCTGAAAAAGCGGAAGAATCCGCCGTTGTGATTGTTCAGGTAATGCACCAGTTTGTCGGGATTACGCGGACACCTAGGAAACGCGCGATAACACATGGCCGGATTTCCGTTGCTGCTGTAACCCAGCACGACAGCTCGGGCGAAATTCAACATGGGAGACGCTTCTGCCGAACCGGCAAGCCATCTGAAAATATAATGAGAAACTAAGTATAATGATTTCACCATGTTTAATTTTCACATTTTTAGTACGTCGGAATTTTATTGATATCGTGTTTCGTTTGGCAAAATTAGTGCTTCTCTATCGCATGTATTATGTTTCGCGAAAATATACATACTGAGCGAAAGTACTTCTTCCAAATTCCTCCAAATAATGTTGTTTATCATTTCCCATCGATGCCTGTTTATATCTTCCTGGTGGCTTCCCACTCGCTACTTCGCAAAGTATTCTAGGCACACACTTTAGATCGTCGTAGCGGGAGATTGATGACAGAGCATTAAAAAGATTTATTCCGAGTCCGCCAAACTGGTTGACAGATTCACTTGGATAATTTAATTGATAATTACTAGTAGTAGGATTCAATGGAAAATCTTGAGGTATCTACGAGATATTTATAAATAATAATAAATAATAATAATAAGTTTTGTTATAGAATATAATCAAGAAAGAAGAGAGAAAGAGAGAGAAAGAGAGAGAGAGAGACAGAAAATACAAAAGCTACACTTACCGATGGTACTTCATTATTAAATAGATTTAAAATAATATTTCCATAAGGAAATTCATATGGAGTTTCTCTGTAAGCTGACAAGTCTGATTGACTCGATTGCCTTAGTAATCGATCATCATTTTGAACCAAAAGATTCGTTGCGAATTGACTCATGCATCTATATGTATAATTAACATAAATGAATTAATTTTTAATTAATATAAATGAGTTAATTTTTTAATATTTTCAATCATAATATGTTTTTATCAGAATATATTTACCGTAATAAATCGGTTACATTATAAATCTTCTGTGAGATATCGAAAATACATTGAGTATTATCAGATGATTTTTGGGAATATTGTGATGAGTAACCAACGTAAACTTCGAGGTATAAAAGGCACCAAACGAAGATCAATTTACTTATCATTTTGCAAAATAAAAAATACTAATTTTTTTTATTTATTATAAATACAAATCTTTAATTGATGTGACAAAATTTGATATAACTCTTCTTAACACATATACAAACACACAGACAAAGTTATAAATATAATATATATTCAATATATTAAATATAATAAAATCTTTAATATCACATATTACATTGTTATAATATTGATGCCTTCTTAACACTATAAATATATATGATGCACCAATTTACGAGAAATTTGTTTGCGCTTAATTTTACAATCGCGACTATCGGTCTATTCTGATTTTTTATTTGCAAGACAGATATACTTAACAACGCGATTTATTCATTTTCGTAATACGAAACAGTCGCCTCTCTAGGTTTTGTACCAACTGAAACTTTCCTCGAAGCTGATCCTCGTTTAACCGTTCAGTCGGAAAGACGTGGGTTGGTAGTAACATCGCTAAAAGAGCAACTCTCACTCCGTACATGTACATACACTTTCGCGTTCTTACACATATGCGTGCGTGAGTGGACATGCGAGTAAAGCTTTCCGCATGAAATGGCACAGTTTTCGCAAGAGCTCTTCGAAAATAAGCAGATTCCAAGTGTATGTGGTTCCTTAAATGTCAAACAGTTTATTTTCGCAGAATAACGGCAGAATGATACATAACGACGTATCATGTATATAGGATACATTAATGGAAGCAATTTATGTGATGTATAATGAATATCGGAGAAATAAGTGCGTGAGATTGAAAAATGTTCAATATATAAGACGTATATTGATTCGCACAATAATTGTACTAGAATAATTTAATATCTGCAAATCTCTCTGTAAACGCATCAATCATGTTTCTCACATATTCTCTTTAATACAATATCATGCTTATCATTTGACTCTTTCCATTATAACAAATACAAAATATATGCAGATGTTAATTAACACGCATAATAATATAAATAATTTAATATAAAATAAAAAAAGAGAGAGAAATATACATCAGTTTTGTACAATTAACATAAACAATTATAACATAGAAAAATGTATATCGTCATCTTACATAATTATATTTCTATTATAATACTATAATCACTAATTAATTTGATTCTAATCAAATCCATGGCATTATTTACAAGTCAACAGAAACACTTAAATGAATTTAAGCATATTGTGCTTTCAACTAATCCGACAAAGTGCTATTATCGCAAGCTCTTCCTCTTTCCGCCAATGAATGACATAGTTTTGGACTGCTAATAATGTTGCCCAGGAAGATACTCAGCAAATAATTTTCCTTCATCAAATTGGGCGATGATTTGTGTTCTCTGTAAAATTATAATAACACAAAATGACAATTATTATCTTATCGCATCAAACTCGCAAATCCAACTATATTTATATGTAAAGAATTTTATAAAAAGTAATATATATATTATAATTATAAAAAATATTAAAGTGAAAGGTGTAAGATAAAATATTATCGCGTGTTTAAGTTCGTGTATATATATGTGTGTATTCTTTTTAACCGCATTACAACTCCAAAACTTTCTACGAAACAACCGATACTTTGTCACCTCATCGTTGTTATCTACGCAACCTCTGCCATCTCGCCCAAATGGATTTCTAATTTCTAACGACCCCATTTTACTTACAATTCTTCTACAATCGATTAGGCTTTTCCGAACCAGACTAGAGAAGGCGCTTCGAGACGATTTTGGGATAGCTTCGTCCCTCATCCATGGACGGTTAAGTCCGTCTAGACGGCAGTTGCCGCCAGTATTCGATCTCCAATTTATCTGCTCCCCTCCTCTCCCTGCCGGCACTCTCTCTCTCTCTCTCTCCTTGCCACGAACATTCGCTCCTGTACGAGATGCCCGCAGGTGACCGGCGGGAAAGCAGAAGGAGGTCGGGCATCGAAATGCGTGCCCCGAGAGATGCATCGTGCGTTGACAGGCACGATGACACGTGCTCGCTATCTCGCGTCACGAGGCATTAGGAGGTTCAAGATAAGCCGACAGGTTCTCAAACCCACGGACCCGGATAGCAGGGCAATCGTAAAATGGTAGAGTCTGCTCTGGACACGCAATGGTAAAGACGATCGAGAAGGTGGGTACGTGGTTTGGTGAAGTAAGGGAGATGCAGTTATCAGGATGCATTAGAGTCGCCCGTGGAACCATTAAAGGCTATCTGCTCCCGGCGTTACTTATAACTGAACTTGTGTAAGCTTCACGAACGGATGCAGAGTGTAAACAGTAGCAGGGATTTCTTTTATATGTTTGAGAAACGGATGCGTGAGGAAAAATATTTCATTGTCATTAAGAAAAAGCCATCTCTTTTTGAATGTGCTTTCTTTTAAGAATCTGTACAAGGATCGAGTCTCTGACGTTATCGTTGTTGTTACGATTCCATGACATATGTCGATCATTTACTGATTGATTAGGCGCCATAGACATTAGAGGATTTAAATGCCCTTGATTAGAGATATTTTCGGCATATCTGTCAGAATATATATATGATAAAATCGAAAATGGAATGTTTCTACTTCAGTATTTTAATGTGCACGTAAAAAACAATTTTATTAATATTCATGACTACTTTTCTAAAATTTAATTATATGTATGTCAAGATATTACATCTTTCACGAAATGTGATAGTTTCTAAAATATTTTATGAGAAAAATCTTTTATTTCGTGGTTTTGTCAAGAAACCTGTTTTCATGCAACTTCGCATATTTAATTATTTTTTATAATAGAAATCCATTTGTTGCCTTCAAGAAATTTTTTGCTGCTGCAAAGTCTTGCAAAAGCAAATAAGATATTGCATGGAATTGTTGCGTATCATTGCACAAGAACGGCAGTATCTTTTTACGTCTCACTTTTTTGTCACTCTCTTAATAAATGCGACTTATTGACATTCTTTTTTTACCCTTTTGTTTTTTTAACTGATCTATCATCCACAGTTTAGCTCGTATCAGGCTGTTTATTGTATTTATGTTTCTTAATCTTTTTACATTGTTTTAATGAATCTGTTAAAGCTTTGTTCGATTCATTATCTCTAATGAAGAAATCTCTAATGAAGAAATGAATCGCGTGAAACCTGTTTTCAAAACATAGACTTGTTCTTCAAGCCATGAACTTCAGAGTCACAGTTGCGTAACGTAATTAGAATTGCCTAGCAATAATGCTTTGAATGAGTTCATAGTATTTTTTCAACTTTACAGCTTATGGCTATCACGCAAAGAAAATAAGTTTCTTCTAGATATCTGTATTTTGTTCTTCGATATTCGTAAAGCAGTTAAAATCTAATTTTCATTCAAATCAGCATATATGAAGATATATCAGCTAAATGAAAGCAATTAAAATGTTGCCAGTTGTATATCCTACCTGAATACTTCGCCCCAATCAAGAATATTCCAATCACCAAGTTGCCGGCTTCTCCTTCGAAGCATTCGTTCTGCATATTCGACACAAATCTTCTCGTAGATACAAACATTATTTCCGAACTCGGTTACTAACTTCTTTTCAATTTGGTCGATGTTTAAAATCTCTTCGTCGTGCGTAGAGAGATGTGCTCGTTTCACTCGACTGACATAAGTATCTAAGGGAATTCAAAAAAATAATATCTTCGCGAAAGCTCTACAAAGTATTTTATCTAAATTTGATTTCATTTTATTGAGATTTGATAACTTTATTTATCTAGAAATCCTCGACTAAAACAGTTTCCTTCTTTACGCTAATGATTTTGTAAATATCATAAATTTAATATGTTGCTTTAATTGGCAATTATCTCATAATTAAAAATAAATTTACATTCAGTAATAACGATTTCTCTGGTATTTTTAATTTCCTGATATGCGTATTTATTTAATAGGTGGACAACTACACAGTCATTTACAGAGTGATTGTATTCGATGATAGGAAAGATAAGATACTTTCGCTTTTGCTGTTCACTGATTCGATTTACGTGTTACATGAATTAACCGCGGAAAAAGCGCGCATACATGATACATTTTTCTTCTTCACGCCTGGCGAAGCATACTAGTAGATTCTTTTTATTAAACTATACGGATGTATATATATGTATATATATGTATATATGTGTGTGTGAGAAAATCTATATTTTTTTTCTTATTCGACCCCTCATTTTTGACTTTTGTGATTTTTGCCGCATATATTATCATCCGTTATATAAAAAAAAGTAAATATATGAATATATATATATGTGAGAATCATATTAAAAGAGAGTTTTTCTAGATAGAACGCATTACCTGGATTCAAAATATAAGCGAGCTTCTTGAAGAAATTGGCGATTCTTACGCTCGCTATAATTACCGGAAAGCCAATCAGGTGCACCGGAAGCTCGAAAAATGGCTCCTCGTTACCAGAAGGTGCGGCTGTCACGAACGTCAATGCCAGAAAGTAACAGCCGAAAAGCAACAATGTCCTTGATAATTGCATTATGTAGCGGATCTAAGACATTCGTTAATTACAATTCGTTATTGTAAGCTTATGAAACTAACTAACAAGATTGTCGGGATTGAACAACTTCCGGTATTCGTTGCGCGAGTGTCTCCTAATTTGATTGCGCGGTTATCTCAATTACTTCCGTTTGAAAGGGAAACTCTTTCTTAATATATAGAAGGAACGATTTTGTATTTCACATGGAAAGTGATCTTGCAACTTTATAATACACGTAATTTATCTTTTCAATTTATTCCTTGCAGTGAATAATCATTGCTAAAGTATAAATGTTATAATAATAATTAAAATAAAGCGTCGTGAAGTACACTCGACATTACGATCATCTGATTTAAAGACAGAAGTTTCTCTTCAATTAAACTGTATGTGATTTCTAAATATATCTACGAAACTCGAGTCACAAAAATTCCACAGGGTAAATTTATCCCATCGCGCCACCACAAATAAATCAACCAGTCGATGTTCTCAAAAACATCCTCATTACATACACTGCTGCACTTGTATCGTGCCGAAATTGATACGCGTTCTCGCGTTCTTACTCGAGAATACACTTCTCTTACGTTAACGTACCGCGTGACTTTGGCACCAACGCGTGAATTTGATCTACTGATTAAAGGTGTAGCCGATGGATCGGTGGTAACTGGTGTTACTGCTTTGTGTAAAAACTCGTTGCTGAATGTTCCTCGACGCACCACGAGGCTGTACCGACAAAGAGAAAGTGATCGCCCCTTCCCATCGCCGGTATGTCCGATCCAACATTCGAGCTTCGTCTTACGACATTTATTAGTACATCATACGAGGGGTTTCTCGTCTCCCCGAAGTCGATGAAACTTCGTCCTTCTCTTACTTTCCCCCCCTCTCTCTCATTTTGTCACTTTGACAATGTCGATACGTGTCTCTTTTGAAGTTACCTATGGCGTGGATTCGATGTAGAAATTTTTTCCGTGAATTAATTCTGCAAACTTTTAAGAAAGTGCGTTTCCTTGACTTTTCGTCCCTGACAAGATCACTAGCGAAATTCATCGACTCACCGATTTAAATGTGTTGTGATATCTTTTGAAATTGTCAAGCAAAAGCTGCATATTTCAACTGCTAATTGGGTTGATCGTGCAATATAATTTTAAATAATGCTTCTAAAGTATTTATAAAAATGACTAATCTAAAGTTTTTGAACGCAGAATTCATAATCAATTGCTTATCGAAAGATAAGCCGATGTTAAATATAATTCTAGTCATAATCGAAACATAGTCGAAAGAGTAGCTTCAGAAATTAATCGTACGAATATTTTTTTTATGATTAAAATGAACAACTTGACCATGAAACAAGAGATGTTCGCTTGCAGATATATATATATAATTTAATAGTGTTGATGAAGTGTACTTTTAAATAATTAAAACAAGACGAATCTTTCAAGTATTTTTTAAACCATGCCACGTAGATCACAGTTACCTGATTGCTTAATAGGTGACATTTTTCTTTCCTGTTCCGCCTTTATCGCCCTACTTTCAGGTGCCAAGACTTCTCGCAATTAATTGTACATGCAATGCACAACATTTTGATTGCATTCTGATACGTAACATTGTATTATGCACAATACAATGTTACGTGTCAGAATGCAATCAAAATGTATTTAGATAATGCATCAAAAATGTAATTCTTTTATTACAATAATTTTCATATTTATATATATATCGGACAAATTAATAATTTTAATATTATATACCATTTTTAGCAAAGCTGTAGAACTTTTTCACCTCGGAATTGCAGTCGTATCGCTGAACGAACAAGCACGTAACGAGAGAGGAGCAAAATTGTAGCTGTAAATCGCCAGAGTTGGCAGAGACGCTGATAGAGACTCGAGTCGCGATACTGCGCGATAATTTTTTGCAAGTATTCCAAATGTCGCCAGCTGTTTCGGGAAGGGGGCGGGGGAAGCGCAGTTAATGGTGCGGTTTCATCCCATTCCCCTCCTCGTACATCGCGCCGAATCCTAACCGAAACTCTTGGCACGATCTCGTTTACGATCGCACGGCTCGTTGGGAAACGTCCACTCTGGAAGTTGGCATCGGGTTTAAGTCGATAAAGACGCCGGCGATTATTGTAATAATTTTCGCGCGTTTCTCCTCTATGGGCTCCCAGATTATATCAGCAATGGCGGCGGCATTGTATTAGAAAAGAATAGGATAAAGAATAGGGTGTAGAGAGAGAGAGAACGGAGATCCTGATAATTTGGCAAAGTGTCTCCCGATGCTTTTCGCGAAAGTGCATTGTGATTTCAGGATCGTATAGAGTAAACTTATAGCAATCTCGAGGAATATTTTATAATAAGAAAAGAAATTTTCTTCAATTACAATTTTTATTTGTCATTTCTTATTAAAAAGTACAAGAATATATACAATATAACAATGCAAATAAACGATCGTACGCTATTAGTTATAAAGGATTCCTGGATTGTAAATGTCATACATCAAAAGTAAGTACAAGAGTTATGAACGAAAACACAGGAATACGTATAAATAAATAGTATGATGTAAAAGCGCACATATTTGTGTGTTTTCTTTTAAATATTGAGTTAATAAAACCAAAATTTCACAAACAATAAGTAGTGCCTAAAATGCTATTCAATAATTAATTATAAAATCTGGCAAAACAGTTTTTTGATCGAATAGAACCGTTTTGAACACTATCTTAAGTATTTTTTTATATATCTTAACTTTTTAATTAGTATTTAATTAGTATTTTAATTAATCTAGAACTTAAGTAATCTATAATTTTTATCTCGCGATTTTTAAAAAAGAACTTGAACATCGCAAAGTGTTAACATTTTTTTTCAGCGATTGACTTTATTTTGCACATCGTTTGAATCATCAAAAACATTATTTAAATACGTATTGAATCATCGATGATATCAATGATCGTGCGAAAAATAACATTCTCACGATATCACAGGTTCAGCTATTAAAGTGATAAAGTTGTCTCATCAGCGTAGACGGACTTTCTTCATCATGTTTAAAACGCTGTTGCCCGGCAATGGACACGTCGGGTAAAAGTTATGACAGCCTTGACCTTCTATACCGGAAATCAGTTGGCCCATATGAGCCGCGAAGTGATATCTCGAGGGCATTTCCGCCATTGTGCTCAGACTTGTATCTCTGAAAACAACATAATGAAATTTTTTAATAACATAAACTTTCTATCACGAATCATAATTTTGCATTATTATGATATTTATTAATTTCATTAATTTTTTTAATTGTAAAATAAATTTTTTCCATTACTAAAATTATGTCAACATTTTTTATTCTTTTACATTGAGAAGAAAAGAGGTTGTGTGTTTGCAATTTAAATGTAATTAAGTGTCATAATAATGTAATCGTTAAAGTATTATAATTGCGAAGGAATAAAACAAAAAGAATCATAAAACAGAGTCAAATGACGAAATACTCGATTCTATTAAACTCATCAATAAGATAAATGAGAATGAGTACAAGGTCATATTTGCGACTTTTACTTTCGATATCGTTTGCAATCATTTGCTTACAAAACCTAGTTATATTTGATCACGTCTATCGGATCCTTTCTCTATTTCAATATATTCGTATTTGCATTCCTATACGAATTAAAAATGAACGAATAGAATTTATTATTCTTCTGTAACGTCATAAATTTGCAAATGTATGCTAATATTCCACTTTCTTTAAAATTCACTGGATTTCAAAAGAATAAGAAACGTAGAAGTATTATAGTCTAAATTATTACATTGTGCAAAATACAAATTATCCAATTATCGCTCTCAAGATTTTTTGAAATTCAAAATTTTTGTACAAGAATTAAAATTGATATCATTTTCTGTCTGAAATTTCAAGAATTGCTGACACTCTTCAAACTCAAATATCATCCAATTTCCATCGAAATCGAGTAAATGTGCTGAATCTTTCGAAAAACCATTCAATCTGTCGAAAGAGCAAAGAAACGCAGCAGTTTTATCACGCATGAGTCTCGTGAAAGATGTCTTCCTTCTTCAAAAAAATGGAAGAGATCCTTTCTTCCCCTTTACGACTCCGCATCCTAACTCTCTTGGAAGGGAAAGGATATAAAGAATAAACGCAAAACGGCTTTTTAGCCTATCTTGATCGGTTTAACTCGGACTGATTCACATAGATAAAAATCGGACCCGTCAAAACGGACCGGTGCGTTTACGTAGGCATAAAAGTAAATATAAAGCTCGGATCCTTCCGGGACATTAATCGCAGCATTCTCTTTAGTTCAATGTTTACTGAGAAAGAATGATAAAGACGTGCGAAAGATAACGCTACATTGCTTTATTTGAGAGATTTTCCTGATTATATTTAAAATATATCTAAAATCTCCTTTTTTTGGTGAGAAGTTTAATATAGAACTAATATTTTCATTCCCATCATCTTTTCCAAAATATTTATTTTCAAGAAAAAAATTTTTATTGTAAAATTTTATTTCTCTTTTAATAAAAATTACAGGATTTATCTTACTATAATTATATATATGTATAATTTTTAATGAGCGAATATGAAGAAATATGATGCATTTAAATGAAAAGAAAAATGTATGAGACATATCGAATTAATTTTTTTTTGGTTCATTATACTTTCTAATGAAACTCGTTTTTCTGCATCGATTCATTTTACTGTTCGTCGACATCGTTTCTGTTTAACACGAGGACGAAAGTAAATGACTGTAATAAATATGAGATTTTTATTTGAGCTCGCCGCTTAAAGAGATAAACTCAAACTCTATCCATCTCTATTTATGATATCCTATATAAAAGGCTTTTTAAATTTTTGTATTAAAGTGATTAGTTTTTTTATTAACTTTTGGTATTATATTGAGAAGAAAGAAAAGACTAAATACATAAGAAATTTTTTTAGCGGCTATTAATAAAATGAGAAGCTATGTTAATCGACGAAGATATGTTAATGAGATACTTAATGAAAACAACTGGTAAAAATTATCTCCAGAAATGTTAACATGTTTACTCTTTATAACATATAAGCACATATTATGAATAATGCAAAGTCTACATGCGTCATTGAATAAAACAACAATATTTTGAGGGACGAGTATAGAAGCGATTGATGATTAATTTCCTCTTTCATTCGTAAAAGTATTATTAAAGGATCAAGGAAATAATTTTCTATCCTCGTTGGTATAAATCACGAAAAATGTTTGTAGGAAGTAATGTTCAGAAACGACGGATGCGAAATCTCGACCAGTTGTATAGGAGAAAGTATGCGTGAAAAGGAAAGTGCTCGTCGGATGGAGAGATATGGCAAGAGGTACGTCTCGTTTTCGGATCGGACTTACGTAAGACTCGACGAACTTTCGCGACTACTTTCGAACAGTACTTTCCAAAACATTTAAGATGCAACTCTTACTTCATTAATTATGTGTATTATACGAATTACGCGATTTTGTACATATATAATTTCTTTAAAAAATCCATCGACAAAAGTATTCTCTTATAATATTTATCAAGATGGCGATAAATTGTTATAAGCAACTATTAATAAATTGAAAATAAATGAAATAAATTTATTAAATATTTAATAATATTATATTTATTAAATATGAAATAAATTTATTTTGCAATTTATGAGCAAAGAGTAAATTGCGTTGATTGTTGAGTGAGATAGATTTCGAAAAACGTGTTTTAATTTCGAAGAGAGTAATCTCTAATTTGCAGTATTGCGGGGAAAATGTGTTAATTTTCTCGGAATTCTTCGATTTTCTGATTTTTGCTCATTCGTTCAATTGACGAACAAATTGAACGAACGCAATGTTCACGAGGTCGACGCGTGTAAATGTGTAATTAATACATTCACGGTGGAAAGTCTCGCGCGATCGTAGTATATATATACTGCGTTACATTCCACGCTATGCAAATACGGGCATTTAAAAGCGTTCCAGGGGGATCGCATTTCCCGATTTTCCCGACAGAGACATGGTCCGCTTTAACATAACTTTGCTTTTAATCAGAACGTAAAACGGCGCGAATTCGCGGTATAATTCTTTGCATTATTCGCATAACGCGACGTGTGTGTACGCGATGCGGAATTCGGCCGCGTTTTACCGGCGATCGTAAACGAAAATTGCAAAATACGCGCGTTCATTTACCCCGGGCGTCCAATTTTCCGAATCGCGGTTACGATCCTATACCGTCGTTTTTCGAAACGTCCTACAGTATTATCGGCACGTACGCGGCGGATATTACTGCATTAGCCTTGATGAGTGAAAAAGTTGCAAAATGTGCACGCGCCCTTGCACGTTCATTCGATGAAAATTATCGGTTCACGATTTCGAATAAAAGATATCGACGTTTATATCCCGAAAGATCACGTTCTTCGTAGCTCTTTTTAAAGAATGCACGCAGAATTTGAGAAATGTCTCTTTATGATCGTAATCCATGCACATATATTCAGGGTCGATGCACTTGAATCGTATAATAGGAATGTGTCGATCGAAAGTTGTGAAAGTAAGAGTACCTAGTGCAAGATTCTCGATGATGAAAGTAAATTTTCGACTTACCACATACATTGAATAAATCGATTGAACCGGTTGAAACCGATCACTTTAGATTTTTTTCTCCAAGCAATGTCAATAAAAACTAAATTCTACAATTATCAATTTCTACCAGTCTCTAAATCTACTTGTCACGAGAAAGTGAAATTTAACATTTAATAGAAACTGAGATCTATTTTCCCTACTTCTTAATAATACGGATGAAAAGAAAGAGAAATATAAAATAATAATAAAAGTTTAACATTTAAGTACCTTATGAGATTCAAAAGAGATCGCTCCATTTCACTTAACTGATCTTGGTGGACGGACGATGTGAGTTCGCATATCAACTTTGGCAAGCAAGCAGTCTTGATCGTCGCCATCATCTTCGCACGACGTAAGGCAACTGGCGGAGCAGAAATCAAGTTATTATTGTCAATTAAATCGCTGCGCATGCTATATCATTCCAAAAGCTGACAAAACGATTAATGAAGCGAGATATTATTTCGAATGACCGCGCATACTTTGTGAACGGCTTTATTTAATTATGATGTTCTGATAAGTGACAAGTTAATAGCCCAGATCTCACGTGTCAAAAATTTTTCAAGATTTCTGAGACACATAACGAGGACACTTTCGAGAAAACACAATATTGTATAATATATTATAATTATAATATATTTATATACTTTGATATGATTATTGTTGTCTATCATGTTGCTTATTGCTTGTGAGATATTTCTCGATTTCTATTTTTTTACAAATTAATAAAGTATTTTTATAATAAAAAATTAACAAATTATGCATGCGTCAAAATAAAAACAAACTGTTTATAATTCAGATATTCTATTAATAATATATACAACTATAAAATCGTCGTTAAATTATCTTTCAGGATGCACAAAGATCAGCAGATAGCAAAAGTATTACGTCATTAATGCAATTATTTATTTTAATACATCTCGATTAAAACTCGACATTTCTTAATATTGTTATATCAAAAGAAAACCACTGTTATGTTCTTAATATTGTTATATCAAAAGAAAACCACTGCTTATGTAATCGAAATGAAATACATGTTACATATGTTATAATTTATCTGCTTTTCAACAGTTTTTTTTCGATTAAAAACTGGTTTTGTTCGTGAACGAAGTTCTGATAAACAGCGAAATAAATAAAACGTAAGTAGAGGGGATCTCGATAACGTTACCAAATAATTAATACACACGAGCGCGCTGCTAATTAGCAGAGTGGCAATTAGCTTCACGCAGGTTGACAAGTAAAACTCGACAAATATTTCCTCCCTTGGGTAACGACGTGACGACGCACGAGGCATGTGCATAGGCTCCGCTTACTTATATCACTATATAAGGAATGAACTGTAGCGTGAAAATATTAAGCAATTGAAATACGCATTGAAATTATATGACTCGCATTGCTTGGTGAAACAAAGCAACTAATTGTACTTTGTTAAGAAGATTTTCTTTATAACTTTTTTTTTTTCTGACGCATTCTTTATAACTGAGGATATCTTTTATAACTTATTTTTTTCTGACGCAATAATATATTTGTGTAAAGAAAGAATTTCATATCACATATCTTTTATGCGTTATTTTTTATTCTTACCGTTTTTCTTATCAACATCTTTTTTCGAAACGACGTCTATCTTATCGTGAGGACCCTTAAATTGAGCTTCGGGTCCTCTAACAGTTACGTTCCTCTCCGTTGCATTACCAAAAATCGATGAAATCAATGTGCTATAATCGCCGGCGAAAATCAAAAACATGCCCACAAATATCACCAAGCGTATTGTACTCGTGTCCATGATGACCTTTTCGATGTGATGAATCTCTTGAAGAGATTAGAGATAATCAATTGATTTGTTAACAAACTGATTCTCAGACATGCGTTTAATAAAATAATGTACGAATCCAATGCAGTAGGGAATTATATCTGAAAGTATGAAATATCACATTGATTTTATTAATTAAACACATCAACTTAATTTTGATATTATTAAAGAAATAGAAAAGAAGAAATTTTGTATTTTTTTTCATATATTAAAACACATATAACGTAATTTTAGATAATTTTAGATTTTATACAAATATATAAAATATGAAAAACGGTAATTTAAAATTTGACCGAAATCCAATTGACTATTCCGTTACATAACAAAATGATGCATTACAATCGTGAAATTACACATCGTATCACGATGTACATGCAAACGTCGATTCGCGACGATGATTCCACCGCTTTCAATTCACACGTATTATTACGTAACCATGTAAGTATAGTCGATCGTCTTATTTCGAGATGGCAACTGGTTTTACCTTAACCTGAATTTTCAAAGATACAAACGATTACTTATACCATCCAAACAGATACCTGTCCCTGGATTCGTGATCGACGTTGCGGAACGCGAGATCGCGGCTTTTTTCTCTCTTTCTCCCTCTCTTTCCCGAAAAAGAGAGAGAAAAGACTCTCACTCTCCGTTAACTTCCACTTTCTTCGAGCTCCGCACCGCACTGCACGGTGATAAAGTTAAATTCTCTTCCGACGTCCGTACTTTCATTCGTGACAAAGTCGCTCTCGAAACTCGACGATTTCTTTGTATCGTCGAATGCACTTTTAGCGCGTGGAATCGGGAAAACGGTCGGCGAAACTGTAACGGCGGTCCTTCATCTATTGTTCTTAAGAAACTCTGCGAACAAGTAACGCGGTTGAACTTTTCTCAGGGAATCGTAACAACGTCGTGAAACGAGAGCGGGATCAAAAAGCCTGCTTTAGAAATTCGCGCTCGCGTTTATTTGCCGATTAATGCCGTCCGCTCTATCCTTCGATTCTCAGAGTGCAAATGGCGATTTGCCCACTATTGCTATCACGCACACATACATGCATCTAAATTTCCAAAAGCAATTACAATCGCGAGAACAAACGATCAATCCCCGGATGACATCGCTGACTGAAAATCATGCGCGCCCAACAGCCGCTTAAATCAAATCACGCGTAAATCGAAATCCGCGGATCGTAACTCTCAATATTGCGCGCGCAGTTTCGCGATTATACATATATGCGGATAGCAATAGTTCCACAACGAATTTCCCTTTCCATCAATCGTGAAAAATATCGATGAAATGTTGGACGTCGAATATCACTGCGTCACGGATATCCGTCTGCGGAAACGTCCGCGCGCGAGACGCACAAACAACTTTACAGGAACGATTGCGCGAAATATAAAATTCGCAAACTACACATTACGTATCGCTGATGTAGCACTGACCGTACATAGTGACAGCTCGCACGAAATCCTTCGGTAGAAGGAAAGAGAAATACGAGCAGCCCGCCTGTACCGAAGCCCGTCGAAGTTACGGAATGACTGTGAATGAGACTCGAAACCACGGCAGCGAGCCTAACGAGTCGTCAGTGAAAGTTAACCGATCGTTCGCAGGTTTACGAGTTTCCATCGCTCGCGGCTCTACATAGTTCTACGGTTAAAACAAGATAAACCTACGCACAAATAGATTCCACTTAGTATCGGCGGTAATTATATCCTTGAAAGTATCGCATTATTTTTTGTTCGTTATCGGACAAATCATGATAGGATAGGTGCGACATTTTTTGTTCCTCTATCGAATAAATTATAATATAGATTAAAAAAAAGATTATATAATAAATCTATAAAGAAATTATAGATTTAAAAAAAAGAAGTATATTGTGCCATATTGATAAAAAAATATATGTAATGTTTTCTAAGAAACAAGTGTTGGAAATACCTAATAATGTAATTAATAAGTATAAAAAAATTGTTAATATTATTTTTTAAAATTTTATATTGGCAAGTAGAAATATAATCGTTTCTCCTCTTTAATGAATTTTTCACGCAGTTTTTGTAAAATAATCACTTGTGACAGCTAAAATACGATGTCTTTGATTAAATTATTACTGTTTCCGTGAGAATTGTAACAGAAAAGAAAAATAATAATGTCAGTAAAAAATAGGTCTTACAAGTAGAGCATGATATTACATTGACTAGTAAGAGCTTCTTAACACATGCCATTCTAACATGGACAGATCTAATTGACTACTTTCGTCCTTTCAAATGAAAGTATATAATTTAGCAATCCTAGTAGGTATATAGTTTACAAGAAATAAATAATTAATATTAATAACTTAAGAGAGAGGCTTTTCTAATGCAATTTTTATCTATACACTTGCAGGCATTTATTTTTCCGAATTTTTTTCCGAATTTTCGAGAAAAAAGATATATTACATTCTAACAAGATAAGAAAATATTACATATCCCAACAAGAAAAAGAAAAAATGATTCCTACTCGAAAAATTAGATAAAAAGATATCATATCATTAAAGTAGTAGTAGTAGTTATTATAGTAGTTATCTTATTAAAGCAAAATCATCTTCTTGGCAGAGAAGGCTAATTACACAAGTAATTGTAATTACGAAGCAAATTATAGAAGTTACCAAAAAAAAAAAAAAAATTCTTAGTGGAAAAGAAACTGGCAAAGATAATTTTCATATCAATATTAATGAATTTCATCGTATTGCAACAAAGTTTTTGAGCCATAAATTGCATGATATGTATTTTGACACGCACTGTTGCATTCTCATTGCCTTATTGTTGAATATGAATGGCGTTTTCTTTTCCACTAATAATAAGTTCTATATTACTTTATTGCTATCGCTGAATCGAGAAATTTTGATAAATGTAACGTAAACTCTGCATTTTGATGCAAATACATCTACAATTTATCAGCAGCAAATTTGCAATAAAATGGCACGATTAAAAATAATATAATTTCTTCCACACGTAGATAGAAATGTAAAGCGAGAATATATGTGATTGATAATAGTATATTAAGTTGCTGTTTATTATGCACTCTCTCTTTCTTTCTTTCTCTCTCTCTCTCTTATCTATAAAATCATATATCAAACATATTCGATTAATTAATCATTACAAAATCCTTCACTGTTTACATAAATATTCATTTCGATCAAGTGCTATTTTTAAATGCGTATCGAATCATATAATTGTAAATGCAAATGTAATCTGGATAATTAATATTAACTTGTTGGCCATGAAAAAAAGAATTTTTAATATTAAATTAAATTTTCCACAATATAAAACAATGTTATTTACATATACATATAAGTGCTGCTTTTTCTTATATTTTTAAGTATTATTTATCATGTAATCATTGTGCTATGATCGTAACATATAATTAATTACGCTTGGAAGATATACAGCCATCAAATGCAGTTATAAATATGAAATTTATTGTGTAGCAGAAATATAAGAAAAATATTGCCTACAATATTTCAACTAAACCCAAATTAAAATATGAGATATAAAAATGAGATATAAAATGAAATATAAAAATAAATGATAATGAATAAATGAAAATGAATAAATGAAAATGATAAATGAGATATAAAATGAGATATAAAAATAAATGGATAACAAAGATATATGTTTATTAAAATTCCACACACAATTTTTATAAGAATTACTCTCTAAAAGTGAATCAGTGTATTATCACTGTAATTAGCACTGTATTATTAGTGTATTAACACTGTATCAGTGCTGTATTTATAACTGCTTGTAATCAGTGAATATTTACTGTTTTTCAGTGATCATACACTGATTCAGTCTAGTGAAAGTAATATATATACTACTTTCATTAGAGTGAATCAGTGTATTGTCACTGAGAAACAGTAAATACTCATTAATTACAAGCAGTTATAAATACTGATTACAGTGATAATACACTGATTCACTTTTAGAGAGTAGTATAAAAACTATTGTTATATTAAAATCATATTACTTGTAATACATATAAGTAATAATAAAATATTAAATAATAACATTTTATATAAATAATTTTTTAAATATATATATATAAAAGTAGAAAATGATGAGAAAAGATTATAGAATTCATTACTGATACGTTAAAGTTATCGAAATATTATATTTTTATTAATGTAAAACTCGATAAAACATTGTAGCAAGGCCTAATATTGATTTGGTAAAAGGTGTGACATTCTTCAAAGAATCCATGTGAATCTTACGCATATTACTGTACGAAGATTGTCGCGAACGCATTTTTAGTCGTTTAGGATATCTCTTTCGATCACCGTCATGATAATTGCTGTACCTCGAAGAGATTCTATTCGTAGCTGTAGAATAGAATTTGTAGAATTAAATTCACGAATGTAACAATTTAAGAACATATCTCGAGAAAAAAAAACAAACATTCAAAATTTAACGTACATAATATAAATTTTTAATGCTGAAAAAAATGAAAGATAAAACTTGGAACGATGTTGATACAGAGAAAACAAATAATTAGATTATTAAATCTAAAAATAAATAGTATCAAATTATAATTGCAATCAGTCACATGACTTTTCGGTCTAAATCTACATCAATAACAATCTATGTTTGAATTACATTTTTGTTTTGAAATCATTTGTTTTACACAAATAAGAAATTTATAATGTTCAAGTAGATTGAATAGAAATTAAATTATTTTTTCGAAATTAAATTATTATAATTAAATTATTATAATGAGAATATCTTACGACGTCGAATAACGGATTCGGAGGAGATTTCTGCCGAAGCACTATTATTTGAATCCGACTTTTGGCGGTGGAGTTGCAGGTGCAACTGCTTTCTCCGACGGCGCTCTCCGTTGCCCAGGCGGTCGACTGACAAAGATCCCGTATTTCCGAGGCGGAGGTTCCGGTGGTACGGACGGCGGAAATGACGGTTCGAGGATCTTAAAATCACGTTCGACGATAATTACACGATATAACGTATCATTAATTTTTTCGATTAACTTTTAGCCGAGTCGACATAAAAAAGAATATTTAATGATGTCTTCGTCAATTGCATATGAATTAATAAAATTAAATTACATCTTACAAAAACTTAATATCATATTCTTGATTATATCATGATTATTTTTATATAGTCTTGATTAGCTCATAACGTAAAAATTCAGAATAGATATTTTTAAGTATCTTATTTGGCGAAGAGAAACAAAATATGTATATATTTTTTCACCTTGAACTTCTCAAGTGGATTTGCGGTGCTCTCGTGTCCTTGTGGACATTCGCCTTCACCGGTTGCGATGACACCGATTGAATATGCAAACGATTTGTCTGGATATTTGTACTAAAAACCATCTACGATTTAATAATAATTACTGAAGCTGGTAAAAATGATTGGCAATAGAATAAATATCAAATAACAACGATTACTTTTTCAACGATTTTTTCTAATTCGATGATTTTATTGGACGTCGTGATTAATTCTGTGCTGAGCTTGTGCGTCTGAATATTTAAATAGTGTTTATGCGAATATTAAAGGAATTTTGTTTATACAGATTTGTACATATTGTTTATACAGATTTACAATTTTTTAAACTTACTTCATCTTCTAAATATTTTGTAGTGATTTTTTGTGTATTTGTCTATAAAGTAAATTAATTATTACAATAAAAATACATTAATTGTAGATTAAATTATTATTAAATTATTATTAAATTATTATTATTATATATTGTAGATTAAATTAGAAAAAAAAGACAAGATGTATCTAACCGTTTTTACGATCACTTCTTCAAATTCTTCCTTTTTATTTTTCAATAATACCAATCTGTCTAATTTCTACAAAAAAAAATAAAATTTTTAGTAAAAAGAGCGAATAAATTGATAATGGATTATTTCATAAACCAAGTAAAATAGAAGCATAATCCTAAACTCACTGTCTTGTTCTCTGCAACTGTCATTGACATTTCTCGATTTGATTTTTCAATTCGTTTTATTATCTTGAATAATTATATTAAAAATTGTATTAAAATTAACTAGAATGCTAAAAGCTGATTTTTCAAATTAATTATACTTTGGCTTTTAGAAGAATCTCGTAATGATTACTTACATAATTAGCATACCATAATGCCGCGTAAAACAAGATGTACATCAAAATGCAGACGTAAAAGTTATCCAAAACGTATGCTCGTATAAAAGACTGCGAATATAAACCAGGGAAAAGAAAATATCACATATAAACAACATTTGTCAAGTTGAAATTATTTCGCTTTTTCACTGAATCGCGGTTACCTGGCGATCGTAAATGTCAACGAGTTTCAAAATCGGATAGGATCTCGACAGCTGGGAGAAATAACACGACCTCTGCGAAAACATTCTTGAGAGCGTAATCCATTAGCGAAGTAAAGAGCTACGGAAATCAAGGAAACCCGTGCAAGTGCTGACAAGCGTAGAAACTGCGCAACATGTATTTCTGTGATAAAGTGCAGGACGACAAATTTCCAGGCGACTTTACGGCATCGTGTGAATGTGTCTCGTTTATATATCCGTTCGATAAGTTACTCGCGAATAGCGGAATATCGCGAGAAGACGCGTTGAGAACTTCACGGAATAAAGTCATTTTCGCCAACTTCTATCGATGAACATAGACATAATCATCACTTTCCGAAAGTGTAGAACCGCGTTTACGTGTGTATATATGTGTGTATGTATGTGAATATAAAATTTTCGCGATTTATTAAAAAATTATACAATATTAATAAAAATATTAACAAAAAAATTATACTTGTACAATATTGAGAAAAATATTAATAAAAATTATACTTATACAATATTAATTTCAATATTATTTATATAATATATAACATATATTCACTTAAAATAACATATATTCATTTAAATTTGAATAATTTGCTCTCAACCTATAATTTTTCATACGTTGTATCATAGCTTTTCAAAGTCCTTATCACGTAAAATATTATCTCCCTGTAGAGATTCGTATAATAACGTTTAAAGGGGAATCACGATAATATAATCTCTCTCGTATAAACATAATTAAAATCTGAAAGTGAATGTTGAAACAGGTGACTTTGTACATCGATTATTATATTGATTGCAAAAGTTACGAGACGAGAATATCGATAACTTGTTGCGATAAAATAGCGTAATTTAGCAATGAGCAATAACGCAGAAAATATAACTAATCTTATCATTGTTATAATCGTTATTATTTCACTGCTAAAATGTCTTTAATATTTTTTCATGCTGTTCTCCGTTGAATGCAACAATTTCTTTTTAATCTTTTAATAATGTAATTATTTTATTTGCTAAATGTTTTAATCATTATGCGGCATTTTCACTTTAAACAACGAGCTTTGTAATTTTATGAGCTCAAATTTCCGGCATCAGCATCGCCGGTCATCAAATGTGGCTTGAGGCAATAATGTATTAAGCCTAACATTACAAGGCATTATTACAGGCATTTCGTCACGGATTGGCACCAATAGCTAAAATACATTTAACGTAGACTTAAATAGACTTTAATAACTGTTACACTATATGAACCTGTAACCCTCGAAAAACGCGGCAGAAATCAAAGTCGAAAAAAAATCTAAACTGTTGAACAAACACTCGTCTGGAAAGTTCGTCATTCGAGTGCTCTCTCTATTTTATCCTCCGCTCAAAGCAAATTATGAACTAATCCACGGGGGATCGTTTACTTTTTACGTCAAGCACCGAGTCGGCTCCATCGATGTCCTCCGATTAAATACACAAGGATTATCACATGAAAGGCATACAGACTGTTCGATGCAGCGACAAACCACATACACACGGCTAGCCATCTACTATCTACGCACACATACATATGTATCAGCATCGCTTCCGAATATGTACACAGCCGGTGATACGCTCGAGCCTTCGCTGGGGCGAGACCGGGCCACTTGTCGTTTCCCATGACGCCTCGCGGGCAGGGTTGACTAACTAAATACCGAAGTTAGCCGGATCCCGAGGCCAGGGTTAAACGGGGCTTAAAAAGCTCCGGCGAGAACGCCGCGCGAGAACGTCGAATCAACTGCGAAAACACTCGAGATCACTTAGAGGAATCTCCGCGACATTCGCGTCCCACGACACGGTCCGCAACTTTGCTTTCACCGATCCACCTCGTCCTCCCGGGGATGTTTATGTAAAACAGTAGCCGATAAACGTGCCGACCCTCGGAGGATGGAAGTGAGATGGAACCACTTGACGCGTCAAAAACGTCAGTTACACATCGGGGGCGGTGCCGCCGCAGCTGGGTGTGTAGCTTCGAGGGTGCTTTTGTCGTAGAAAAAAAGATCTGGTTTGAGGAGGAGCGATCTGAAATATCCAAAATGGAAATGGACAGGCTGCCATGAAAGAGCCGCTTTTATTTTGAAAGAGAAGAAGTCGGTTTGCTCCAGAGGATGCAAGGAAAGTTACGAACATACGCGACTTGAATCACATCAGTAATAACTGACTTCGAAACATAAGATGTAATCGTTTCCGTGAAACAAGTGACATATTTCACTTTTCATGTTTATTTCTTGTTATGATGAACATTATCAACTTTAAATTGTCGATAATTTCGGAAGTTTAAAGTCTCATTTGAGAAAGATGAGTCATTAACTTTCTACATTTCATTATTCACATAACTGTTTCGAAATTACAGATATTTACTTTCTCTTCTAAGACTTTCTATGAAAATATAATTAAAGTAAAAGGTTAGCCACTATTCGCAAGGATGTTCGTTTATCCTTCTTATCCCTTGAATGAAGCCAAGCTTCACTGCACTAAACTCTGTACGAAGGACGAGCGACCACAGTCGCCCTTCACGAGCGAGTTATCGTGCGATCGGCGTAAGCGCCAAAGATAAAGGCAAGCGAGTCACGGGGGAGGAAAATTGGTCGCCCACCTAGAGCAGGATATCGTGGATCCTGGCAGAAGGAGCTCTTTCTCTCTCTCTCTGCCTCTCTTTCTCTCTTGTATGCGAACTAACAGCGGAGACGCGCCGTTTGGAGGCAACAGCATCGGGACATAATCGATTTGCCGTGAGCTCATCCGTAATTCGCTCCCCGCGACAAGAAAGTCTCGGCGGCAAAGGCGCCAGCCGAGCGAGAAATTACTCATCGTTCTGATTGAGGTTAATTAATTAGATAATTAAGTCCGCCTCCGACGACGTAGGGGCGAAACGCAACGGGGATACGACAAGTGAGCGACGACATGGCGTTTGCGATTAGCAAACGCGAGCGAGGCTTCTGCTGCTCCCCCAAGAGAAGATCGTCGATCCTCGTTATAAAAATCCTCCTCGTTATTATCTCGAATCGACCCCGCGTCCGCCTCTCTTATCTCATTAACGTCCTTCCTCGATCATTCCGCTCGCATTGCGCCGCGAATAATGTCTCCGACTCTTTTTTCATGTAATGAAGACAAAGAAGAAGAATTTATGTCGCTGAATTTGATGTTTCTTATATTCGTCATCACGTTGGAATCATCACAAGTAAGTGATATTCAATTGCATCTTGTTATCAAGTACGAGAAATGAAGTTGAAATATGCGACGAAATGAAACTTACTTTGAATCATATCATCAAAATTAGGAAAATCAAAATTACAAAAGTATTAGTAGAAATATAAAATTCTTTACACAATAAAGTATCTACATCTATCAATGCAATCTTGTTTCCTCTCGTTCCCGCGATAAAACTGAAGTAAGCCAGCTTACGTTCCATCCCACGTATATGAGACCAGGATTTGGGGGGAGTTTAAAACGAATCTTCGAAAACCCGGCGCGTTCGATAAATTTTAAAATTTTAAATGTCACCTTTATTTGACGGTATTTCACGAGCGACGCTGCGGGTTGGCTCGGTCGCGTATGAAAGAACTCTTTACACGTGACACTTAACAGGAATCTCATAATCTTGCGGCGGCTTTCTCTCTCTCGCTCACTCTTCCTCTTTTTCTCCTTCCCTCGCCCTCGGAGAGACATCCTGAAAATCCCTTTGAAGATGTACATTGACGCTCGCGGTTTAATATTCCGTCACGGATATTAATGCTCTCCTAGCAACGACTCCTCGTAAATCAGCAAAGCCCCCATGCTGATGCACTTTTCGCTACCGTTTCCCGACATCTCCTCACCTTTCTACTTCGAGTATCATCTCTCTCTTTCTCTCTCTCTCTTTCATTTCGCCCATAAGATCCTCAGATCCGTGAGGACAGTCGCGTTGATTGAGGATAATGCGACATACCAATTATTCATCTGTACGAAGAATTCGTTAGTAAGAAAGAAAAAAACGCAACGACAAAGCGTTTCTACACAGGCATGGTATTTGTGTGACAAAATGCATCTTTTATCACCGAGTATTTCCACCATTGTGCTTTGATGTCAGTCCACAAATGCCAAATAATATACGGCGTGTAATATTTACGGGAATTCTGATCAATATTATAAAGAGTTAGAATAATGGGAAATATATATAAAAATAAATTTGATGGATAAAAAATCTATTGTCAGAAATCAATGTAAAAAATACGATGTAAATGAATGCGAGATGATTTTAATAAGTATTTTATTAAATTATAATTAAGAAATTATAGGAATTTAACAAATATTATTAAAGATATTATTAAGAAATTATAGGAATTTATAAAATATACTTATATAAAATACTTTTTAATATCTTGTAAAATTTTTATTTGAGCAAACAGATAAGTATCTTTTTTTTAATTTTTTTTTGTATTTTTGTGTGTTAAACATATTTATAATAATAAAAGACACATATCGATTTTTAAAACAAATATTTTCGGGAAGTTTCTTTTTTTTTAACTTGAGAAAAAATTTAAACGATGTGTGTTTTCAAATAAATATTCATAAATGATGTTTCACACGTGAAAAAATTGGAAAGAATCTAGCACAAAAATAAAATGGATACATAGAACGTTTTACATTAACGTTTAACTTTACCACAATCATGCACATAGTGTTAGCGCGTTTCTATAAGTATCATTTCTAACATAAAAAGTATATATTTCCGAATAATATTTCAAGTATCTTAAAACTGTTTATTATTATATTTTTTTTCTTTTCGTAAGTATATCATCCGTCCAAAATTATTACGGTTCGTGCGTCGAAAAATATTCCGCTCCGGCTTTCTTCGATTTCGCGTACCTTACGAAAAGAGAAAAGGATGTTCCCTTCGAGTCCCGATGTTCCACCAAGCATGAAATAAGTGTACACACGACGTCCTCCCGCGCCGCTACGAAGGGGCGCGAAGGCTTTCCACGGCGGTCGCGACGATAAAGCGAATTTGCACAGGGGGTAAGAGAAAACTGAGGGAAGAGGAAACACTTCGCGCTCTGTGG